ATTTAATCATTTAGAGGTAAATTAAGATCTTGAACAATTAAAATATGTCTGTACAATATTTCAGGCTCTAAATCGCCAACAATCTACTAAAGTTATGAATAAATTTAACCGAGACTATCAAAGATCAGCAATCTGAATATTTCGTAGACAAAAACGTTAGGATATTGCTAGAAGACTAATGCATTCTATATTCTAATAATAATGATAATACGAGGTATGAATATCCTGTATTTCTAAAACCTCACAAAAGGCTTGGTATACAAATTTTCATATTTTTCATATTTATTTTACATGGGATCTTTATAAGCCTCTCCATTGAAAAGTTAAGGGGGGATGAAGCATATGTTAAACCCATATCTGTCCTACCATCCATCTGTCGTTGTTCTTCCATATTTTCTGGATGTTGAACATGGTCATTTGTATGCCCCTGTGATGAAAAGTCTCACAGTTTACTTTCTTCATTATACAATGAGGGCGGAGTGACAAAATTTTTCAGAATGTTGGAGTTTTGCCTTTATTTTTGTGGGAATTCGTGATTGAAAGGTATCAGGACTCTTGAATTAATGATTAAGGTGGTACCAAACACCTTGACTAAAATTAAATTGGCTCGTTTATATAATATTTTCAAAAGAACTTGAACCACACACTTTATCGGAAACATTTCATTGGATATATAGCAGTTTGACAAACACTAATTTTGATCATTGAGAAGCTTAATGTTTCCTTAACAATAGAACGTAATTAAAACATTCAGCTGATATTTACAGAGTTATCTCCCTGTAGTGTTATGTACCACCTTAATTTTTTTTGAATCTGGGAAAGAATGCTTTATTTTTTTTCTCAGAAATTTGGGATTCAACCTTAAATATTTTGGGAATTGTGGATGATACCCTCTCCTACTCCCTTTATCATGTCTATAATGAAGTAAAGATGCATGAATGATTTAACTTTTCATGAGATAAATTATAAGAATTTTCTGCTAAAAGTAAAGATTTTTTTTACAAACAGATGAGCGGAATGTCAATCATTACCCAAAGTTTAGTATAGGCTAATTGTGACCTAATGAAATATCAATAATATTTTTTACTTTGAATTAAATCTTTTACAACATAGAAAGTTTGAAGAAATAAAAGCAAGCAAAAACAAGCTTTCTTTTTTAAATGTAGGAAAAGTCTGTTGATTAATCATAAAGCAAAAATTTGTATAGCATGACTCATGATGAGTTCATTTTCAATTAAGCATACAAAAACAAGGAAAAGTTAGAATTGCACCAAGTTTTCATCTTCAAAAACACTTGAATCAGAAGTTGTAGTATGGAAGTGTTATATTTTGGTTAGACATGATTCGTCAAACGCATTGCAGAAGATTTTTGAATTACTGGCTTTCTATAGTAAGACTTAGTAGTCTAAATTAATTTTCCTTATACGATAGGATCTGGAACATCTATGATAATATTTTCTGAAATTGCCAATAGGATATACAGGTGATTTAGATCCTCACATTTTGATCTGGGTGTGAATATTTAAACTGTGTTTATTTTGTTAAAGCAAATGGCTCAATTATTCCAGAAAGTTCTGAACATGATCTCTAACTCCACCAAACCAACAATCTTTTTTACTTCAAATTTCACTTTTTCCTCATCTTGCTTTACTTCATTGGAAAGATATTCCTCTCATAGTTCTCATGTTATAGCTATTTTCAAAGCTTTTTATCAAATTCAAATAGGTTACAATATTATCTTTAAATACACGCTAAACATTTGGCTCTCTCGGCGCATGCAGTGTGTATTTCCAAAACACGCTAACTTGAATTATGCTCATTCTGAATATTCATGAAGTATTTATCACTGGACGTTAAACATTTACTATCCATTTATATTCAAAATGACATTAAAGTGTAGTCATCCTGAATATTCATGTAATATTTGACTCTGGACATAAGAAATCTATCAATCTTTTATTGTATTACATTTTTGCACATGTATTAATGATAATGGTATAGTACATGTAGTGCACTTGTACCTGCTTTCCTAGATCCTCTCATCTATTGAAAGTGGTTTATTATGTTTGATTGTAATTTACTGTTCTGATTGTTACAATACTTTTACACTTCATTCTCTCTACCTCATCAGAGTCATTATAAGTATCAAAGATTGCATTTATCTATCTCTCCCACATCAAAGTGAGTTATAAATATAGCATATACATTGTACAGCCAGGAACAATAAATATTTTGCTGATGTTGATGTAGGAATCATTGGAAATGATATAAACATTGAATAGAAAATATTGATTGGCCTCTTGTCATTTTCTTTGGCAGATGATCCCCTTATGGCAGTAAATTTTTGTTACCGGTATATTGAAGTACATGTTTAAAAAATTTTTACTGCACTTTTAAAATGATTTTAAAAAATCATAAAAAGTGGGTTCTGTACCCCTAGAAACCCCCCCTATCGATCCAATAATGTGTATAACGTCGTCAGTCATAAAGCAGACTAGAAAGAAAATGTTTTACTCTTATATAATTACTAAATAGATATGCATACCTAAACATATTTTCCCAAAATCAAAAGTCTTTGCTTTGTTGGGCAATTCTTCATCTTCTACAAATTTAGGTGTTGAAGTTCTGAAAATGTATGTTTATGAAATTCAGTCGAGATGTTACTTAAATTTATGATGGAGAAAATTATGCAAAGAAATACTCTTTCAAGAGGTCATCAGACTTTAATAAAGTTATTAAATATGTGAAAAATAAGTTTGAAAAATAATTAGAGACCCGTAACATAATATGTGAAAAATAAGTTTGAAAAATAATGGAGAACCAAAATGATATTTGACAAAGTTATTGTGTATCTTTACATCAAATCTTTCACTTGAAAATGTCCATCAGAGGGAACCCCTGTTTTGTTTTGCAGTCTTTAAAAATTAATGCCTATTGTTGTACACAATGTATACAGCTGTTTTCTTGAGTAAATAGTCAAGCTAGAGGGGTTGTATTACAGTGTAATGTGTATTGACGGTAGAACACAAGTGGAGCTACTATTTATTGATAATTATCACCATGTGCTTAACCTTTATCTATTGTTTTTATCTGTCATACAGACTCAGGATAACCAAATTATTGTGCTTTTCATATTCATGCCAAAGCTTTTTTTTTCTTTGTTTTACATTTAATGAATCAGCAACTAAAAACATGGAAAACTTCAAAAGACATCTAGATTTTACATAAAGTCTTTAGCAACTGATTAGGTGACCAAAAATGACAAAATATTGACAAATATACCATACCAATGTTATGTTGGATGATCTTAGAAAAAAGTGACCAATTATCATAGCCACCTTCTTTCCTTGTTTAATGTTTATGACATCACAGAATGTGACATCAATATCACCAGATTTTTGCTTGTAAGGAGAAAAATGACATGTGCCACTAATAGAATAGGAACTGTTTATTTCACCCTTACATAGCACCTGAGTTCACTCCTGGGTTTGTGTTGCTCAATTTTTAGTTTCCAGTATAATTTTATGTCGGCTGTTGTATGTCTATTTTAGTTTTGGTCATAGTGTCAACATTTACATATTCGGCCTAACAGATGTCCCCCTGGAAACTTTGTTATAAACAATGCCATAACATCTGTTCCTGGTGGAACAAATATTCTATATCATTTATTCTGTGAGAAACAAATGCTTTAATATTTGTTCCAGTGGAAATAGTATTCCAGAACATTTATAATGAGTGGAACTTATATTATGAAGAAACTTCTATTTCATGGTGTTGTCTGAGAATCAGACTTCTGGTTTTTTATTCCCCCCCCCCCCCCCCCCCCCCTTTTCCCGAAACTAAAGGAACAGGACCTGGTTTACCCTTCAGGAGCTTTTTGTAGCTCAATCTTTAGTTTTCAATATTGTGTTTATCCAATCCCCACCAACAAGCTTTAAAGTTTTATTTTAGCATGTAATACTGGCTTTGAAATTCAATTCTTTTTTATGTTCTTGCATTAACATTGTCCCACCCCCTTACAGATTGCTGAAATGATAAAAGCTGTTTAGTGTATATTTTGGATACTTCTAGTAACCGGACATCTCAAAGATTGTTTTAAATTAATTTGAAAGATTAAGTGATGTTTTGGCAACGAATATGAATGAGGAAATTGGAAAGTTCAAATTATTTAAAGATAAAAGAACTTTTAGCTTGATGTAGAATCAGGAAAACAAAGGTAAGTTATCTACAGTAAGATTTTGAATGAGAATGGAATAGGAAAAGGAAAAGAAATCTTGAGATTGAAAATGATTGACACATCTGATATATATATATGTCATCTCTCTTTGCACTTTCACATGTAAGTATGGGGAATATCAACTGGAAAACATCTTCATGATTTTGTATTCACTCTGAATCTTAATGAATGAATTTTCTCATCAATAACTTGCATGATAATGAAAAAAAACATTTTTAAAATTCGGTGCATCTGAAGCCTTTAAGCATGAGATGATTATCATTAAAATAAAATATTTTGCACAATTTTTTTTGGTAGGGAAATGTGCAGGTATTTTCAGATTCATTTTAAATGTCATTGAAGGTCTCGTTGTGATAAAGACCTTGAATGAGTTCGATATAACGAACATAAATGAATTGAGGAACCATTTTTCCAGGGACATTATATCTATCTTGTCAATGATGTTGGTCTAATGGATATGTGTATTATATTTTTTGTAGTGTTTGATACATGTACTTTCAAGGTTCTTTGAATTTCAGGAAAGATTTTAATTCTTTTAGCCTGTACAAACACTGGTGTCAGAAAAAGTAATTTATTTGTTATACTGACACTTAAGCCAGATTTGTTCAGCATCAAATCTATACATGAAACATTTAACTTATTTACAAATTACTGAAGTAAGTTCATCAAAACTTTTCCTCAAAAAGTGACTGTTCAAAAGTAAGATTTGATGAAAAATTATCTAAAATCTCATTAAATTATTTTAAAATTATTTTTTTTACAGTTCGCCCTGGAGTACCTATTACAAGACCCGAGATTATTGATGAAGACTCAACTAGTGCCAGACTACGTTGGCAGAGAGTTTACACACCACCATATCGTCATAGTGATCCCATCAGCTACCAGATAGAGCAACAGGAAGCTCCTTACAGAAACTGGCGCCCTCTAGCAAGGGGAATAACCATGACTGAACATACAATTACTGACCTCATGCCCAAGAAGGATTACCTGTTCAGAATTAGGGCAGAGTCACAAAATGGTGACGTCAGTGCACCAACACCACCAATATCATACTACAAATCACCAAGTAGGTTTTTATTACGGGAGATTTATTATTATTATTGGCGGGGTACAACTTTGTGTTGATTTTGTGGGTAGAAGGTATAGGTACACCACACATTTAAATGTTCAACGAGGGGCAGATCCACCCATTTTAAAAAGGGGGGGTTCCCAACCCAGGATGAAGGGGGGATTCCAACTATATGTCCCCATTCAAATGCATTGATCGTCCAAAAAAAAGGGGGGTTTCCAACCGCTGGAACCACCCCCTTTTGATCCGCCACTGTCAACAAAGAACAAATTTTCTATATATAGATATAAGAAGATGTGGTATGAGTGCCAATGAGACAACTCTCCATCCAAGTCAAAATATATAAAAGTAAACCAATATAGGTCAAAGTATGGTCTTCAACAGGGAGCCTTGGCTTTTTGCAAAATCACAAAATCAATATCCTTAAAATTTTACTCAATCACAGAAATTGGTACCGACGAAAATAAATGAATCTGATAGACCTTTTAAGGTAGCTGTGGTTTTAGCATTTATTTCAGCAAAATCCTTCAATTATTGATTGTTGAAGAAAAAAGTGAAATAATTCAAAAGAGACAACTTAATTATGACCTTATTTAAGTAAATATGATTGAAAGAAAAACTTTTATGATAGATTACTGTGAATTAAGAAATTATAGCGAGGTTTTTATTAATGTGAATAATGTGACTGGGTGATTATCGCAATAATAAGAACTCGCATTCTGATATCTGATGCATATATCTGTATGCAGCTTTTACTGAAATCGCAATAATTTATCTCGCATTTATGTCCATTCTTCAAAAATTGCAAAAATAAATGCACGCAATAATTTCTGAATTAACTGTACTCTGTATTTTTTCTATTTTTACATTTTAAATGTACATTTTATATCAAAGAAATGTAATATTGTAGCAGTATAAAACATTGTAAGAGGACTTTTGTTACAATTGATTGTTATATTAGGGATTAGTAACAGAATATTCTTTACTACTAATCTAGCTATTTGATATTTTTATCTAACTTGGCTGTTGATTTTAATGCTTTTGTTCAATTATATCATATTGTGTTTAAATATATTTGTGTATTTGTTTTCTTTCAGCAAATGAAGTTGATATTGAAAACAAAAATGTTGATTTGAACAATTTACCACTGAAATTAGAAAACAAAATATTTACTAATCTGAGGGAAATAGATGACTGCTTAGATTCAAACAAAAACGGCATATGTGTCAAAGATGACCTTAGAACCACCCAGAGTCTTGACCTTGAAAACACCAAGAGTGTTAAGTCACATGACGCTGATAATCAAAATAATAATGAAGCAATTGAGACTGATATGAAAGAAGATAAAGTTAAACTCAATGATGATCCAGAATTGTCACATGATTATTCTTCTAACTCTTACAAAAATGATAATGATGATTCTGATACTGATGAAAATGATTTTCAAGGTAAAAAAAATCTCCCATCCTGAACTCCTGATCTTTGACACCAAAATAAACCTTGATTAATCTCTGGTTGATCTTTGACCTTCGACCTTGAAATTTATCACTTCTTTCCCTGTCTATTACCAAAAAAAATTTCTGAACTTTTGATTTCAATCTAAAAGTTTTTGACCTTACAGTCTTAATGAGTAAAAGATCCTAGCATTGAAATTTATAACTTTTTTCCTGTCCATTTCCAATAAATTTATGACTTGTGACCTCAATCACACCCTAAACGTGTTTGACCTCGCAATCTTAATGATTGATCTGAGTTATTTTAATGACGTCTTCCACATCTCCTCATGATGCATGAATTTCTCATACATAAAGTTTCTATTTTTAAGTCGACTAATTATTTTTGACATCATTATTTTTCTTTCCTTTTTGCATGCTTTCATTTTATTTATTTCTGCACTTTTGGTTCAGTATTATAAGTATTACTTTTATTTACAGATTTAACATCAGCCATAAATGCTTTTCCTTTATACTGGTGATTGGTTGTGTTTTTATTTTAGTGAGACATTTAACATGTTTAACAAAATATTGACATTGACATTGAATCCTAATTAGTCTGGTGGAATTTTGATAGATATAGAGTGATTTCACCTGTTTTAATTTTTTTCACATGTACAGTCAAACCTGTATATAAATTGTAAAGGTCATCCTTAGGACCAAACAAAATTGACCTTATAAGAGGAGTGACTTTTGATTGATTGATTGTTGGTTGCTAAATGTCCATTGGCAAATATTTCATGCATGTTCAGGGTGAGAGTGACTTTTGAATTCAGGTTTATAATACATAGGTATTAGAACAGTGGGACAAGAAAAAGATGACTTGACAAGACAGGTTTCGGCTAAAAAAAATGTGACCTTTATAGCAGGTTTGACTGTATACTTATTTCTGATCATTAGAAATTTTTAGGTCAACCTTTAGTTTTACAAAATAAAATTGAACTAACCAATTGGTCAAAAAAGTTAACCCATGAATTGTTAATGCTACTTAATTTGCCTAGTGAGATGCAATGCTTATGTTCCTGTTTTTTGATTGGTTTAACCTGACTGTGTTCAGTCAAGAAAAAGATTTATTCACTAGGGAGACCATTATAACAACTAGACTAGAGGCTCCTTGCTTGGAATAGACACAGTTTGTTTGTTGACTAGAGGCTCCTTGCTTGGAATAGACACAGTTTGTTTGTTGACTAGAGGCTCCTTGCTTGGAATAGACAGTTTGTTTGTTGACTAGAGGCTCCTGGCTTGGAATAGACACAGTTTGTTTGTTGACTAGAGGCTCCTTGCTTGGAATAGACACAGTTTGTTTGTTGACTAGAGGCTCCTGGCATGGAATAGACACAGTTTGTTTGTTGACTAGAGGCTCCTGGCTTTGAATAGACAGTTTGTTTGTTGACTAGAGGCTCCTGGCTTGGAATAGACACAGTTTGTTTGTTGACTAGAGGCTTCTGGCTTGAAATAGACGGTTTGTTTGTTGACTAGAGGCTCCTGGCTTGGAATACTAGTAGACAGTTTGTTTGTTGACTAGAGGCTCCTAGCTTGGAAAAGAAACATTTTGTTTGTTGACTAGAGGCTGCTGGCTTGGAATAGACACAGTTTGTTTGTTGACTAGAGGCTCCTGGCTTGAAATAGACACAGTTTGTTTGTTGACTAGAGGCTCCTGGCTTGGAATAGACACAGTTTGTTTGTTTTACTAGAGGCTCCTGGCTTGGAATAGACACATTTTGGTTGTTGCAATGTTGTTAATGAATGAACAGCTGTCACTTAACTAATGATGTAATGTTATAACATTAAGAATCTGCATTTGTATATACAGTGAAACCTGCATAACAGAAACATGCTTAAACCAAAAATCAGTCTAAACTGCACTCTTGTAACAGGATTGGAAAGAACATTCTTTAATACTTAAACCTGTGTAAACAAAACACCTGTCCAATATGGACAAAATTTTCAGTTCCAAAAAGTTCAGTTTAGACAATTTTTTAATGTAACTTCTTACTGTAAACCAACAAATTTTCACAGGTGATTTATTTGTGTGACTTTTTTTGAAAAATGAAGCAAAATATAATTTGTAGCATTAATCATTTAAATTGAGGTGCTTCTCCTGTATGAATACATCAACATATAATATGGATAGAAAGAAAAACTAAAAAATAAATCGTCGGAAATTTGACTAGAAAGGGCTAATTGTGAAAATAAGTTGGTTAACAGTATATAGTAATATACAAAAATTGCATTTGAAAACTTTTTAATTATTGAATTTTTAGTTTTGATGTACATTGAACGTTGCATGCATTCTTTATATATTCATTGGCGGTAATGCTTATATCTTATCAGTGTGATCCTTTGAACATTCAGTTTATGAAATAGAAGATATTAAATGCAGTCATTTTGAAGAATTGTCAGATATCGGTAGTTGGGACAACTAAAAATTGGTGTTTCAGCAATTTTACTTTTTATGGGAACAAAAGTCTAGTAAAATATGGCCAAAACAAAAAACATGTTTGGAAACTGAAAATCTGACATTTTTGGAATCACTGTAGATATAGTATTGTTATGATGTAATCATCTGATTGGCTTTTAACAGTTATCTGGCATCTTGATGAAATTTAATATTAACCTTAGAGCTTGAACAGCAAGAACCAAACCTCGAATCTGGACAACTAATCGTGAAACACAGAACTTCAAGAATTTTCTGAGAGTCTACGATCTTGCTTCGAAAGTTGAATGATTATTTAAGAAATTATAGTGGAAATTTCGTCATGGTGATATTTCAACTTCCAAACAAGGACAGAAGCTCAAAACTGGACAACAGATCGTTAAACATAGAACTTTAAGAATTACAAGACATACGATCTTGCTACGGAAGTTGAATTATATTTAAGAAATTTAAGTGTACATGATATTATGAATATACCAAGCTTGAATGGGTAGTTCATTGTATCATCAATCACATAATAATTAAAAATATAAATCATTGATGTTTACAGCACCATCACCCAGAACTCCTAGGAAGACTGTGGATTATAAATTGTTTGAGCAGGATTATTCTGTACCGTCCAGATGCTATGTTGACCACCTAACGACATTCAGTAAGTACAGTGGTTGATTTAGGGGATGTAGAGGGAATTTTCGAATTCTGGATATGCCCCACAGACCCCTGGCAAAAACTAGAGAGAATTTCTAAAATGAATTAAATACCAGAATATGATTTAACAGTAGAGCAACTTGACTTTCTTTTTTTCAAAATAAGGGCTATTATATTTAAGAGATCCATCATCTGGTTTCTGATTTGTATAAAAATACATGAGCTATAAATGCCTAAAATGACAAATGTAAAAATTTAAATGAGAAAACTAACTGCCTGATTTATGTACAAAACAATAAACGAGATACAAAAATGATATACAAACAACAACCACTGACTTAAGGCTCCAGACTTTGGACAGGCACATACAGAAGAACCACTGACTTACAGGCTTCAGACTTTGGATAGGCACATACAGAATGATCATCTGTATTATAAATGATATCTTAGTAGCTAATTAAGATTATCTGATTACAGTCATTACACCCCAAATTATAATAATTATTTTTTAAGCTTTAGTTCAGCATGTTTTTATGACCAAAATTTACTTCAAGTAATTAATAAAACAAAAGATATATAGAACTGCTTTAAAAAATCAAAAGACTAAGTTGAAGGGGGTAAAACAACCAACACAAACAGCAAACTTTTTAAGACTGAGCAACACTAACCCTGTCAAAAACTTTGGGTGATATCTGGTGCCCTCAAAAGGTAAGCAAATCCTTCTGATCATGTTACACCTGTTGTACAAACATTACTTCAGATTTAGCAACAAGAGCTTGACTCAAAACATGAGATGAAATGATTTGCACAGGATAGATACAACTGGAATATGTCTAATGTTTAAGTTACTTCTATTACAAATTGAGGACATTCAAATATACAAATAATAAGATGTGGTTTGATTTCCAATGAGACAACTATCCTCCAGATACCAAATGACATAATGGTAAACAATCACAGTACAGACTTCAACAATAAGCAAAACTCATACCAACAATGAGCAAAACCCATACCAACAATGAGCAAAACCCATACCAACAATGAGCAAAACCCATACCAACAATGGGCAAAACCCATACCAACAATGGGCAAAACCCATACCAACAATGAGCAAAACCCATACCAACAATGGGCAAAACCAATACCAACAATGAGCAAAACCCATACCAACAATGAGCAAAACCCATACCAACAATGGGCAAAACCCATACCAACAATGGGCAAAACCCATACTGTACATTAATCTATACAAAGCCATATTGACAAAATGTAGAACAATTCAAACAAGAAAACCAACTGCCTGATTTCTGAACCGTAAAAACAAATATGATAGACAACAACTGACAACAACCCCTGAATTTCAGGCTCCTGACTTTGGATAGGCACATACAGAATGTGGCATGGAAAAACATGTTTGCATGCTCTCAAAATTGATATAAGAAATTTGTAAAAAGACAGGGGTAAAAAATAAAACTAATATTAACTTCCTTGTTAATTACTATCTAGTTCCACCAAGACTGCCATTAGATAAACCAGATATGACAGAGAATGGTCCATCAACTGTATCCCTGCGATGGAAACCTGCACAGGTACCAGAAAGAACCAGAGAAAAGTACCCAATCACATACAGTATTGAAGTGAAGAATCCACCAAATTTTGAATGGAGGGATGTTGAAGCTGGTCTTACTGGTCTTTCACATACATTAAAAGATATACATCCTGAGATTGATTATATGTTCAGAATCAGGGCCCACAATGAATTTGGAAGTAGTGAGGCAACACTTCCTGTTTCTCTATACAGACCTATAGGTAAGAATTTTTCTTCTTATACATGACTAAGGGTGCATGAATTGTACGTTCAGAATTAGGGCTGAATACAATAGTAAGGACCAATGCATCAGATACCATTGTTTAATTTTGAATTACAATGCTATTTTTTCTTCCTTTCCAGAGCAAGTTCAAGTTTAAATCAAACAGCTCTGCCAAAAATTGTACCATGTGGCTGCTTATATCAATTTGAATATAAATGTATGTGTCAATTACAGCATTCATAGATAATAGTTTGACAAGATACCAGATTTTAATGTATGCAAACAAGATTGGAATGAAAAGTACCAGTTTACATTATATTTTGTATTCACTTAAGTCCCTTATATTGATTTATTTATATTTTCAGAGGTAGAACAGTTTTATGATGATGAATATGACTCTGACTATGAAGTTCCATTTGTTACCCTTGGAGATTGTGGTAAGGTCAAAGTTCACCATGCTCTATGTCAACTGTTCAAAGTGACATGTGACATAATATATAATTTACATGTACAGTTATATTAATTTGAAGTTATCAGAATGTGTCAATTATGAAATTCATTTTTTTTTTAAATTTTTGCATGCTCATGGCAACCGGTGAATGAAACTATATACACACAGGGAGAGCAAAACAAGCATACTTGGTAAATGGGGAAAATATGTGGATAGGGCAACCTTTTTTGTTTGCTTTGTTTCCATGGTTTCAGAGTCATGCAATTGTTAATAAATTTAGAAAAAGAATATGGTGATTAGGAGACAAAACTCCTCTTCAACTACTTTTCTTGGATGTCTATGCTTTTTCATCTGCAGAGGGTCTAAAAGGACGTCTACCATATTGCAATTTTAAGTATCTTAAATATTGATATAATAGTTGCAGTATTGATGCGTAAAAAAATTTCAAGTAGATCTAGATTATGATTTCAAAATATATATGCTTTAGCAATGTCTGAACAGTACAGTATGAGAGTCTGAATGAAGTTTACAGAATAAAGAATGATGAGCAAAAAAAAAAAAATAATAAGAAAAGAGAAAAATTAGCAATCATTAAGAATAGAGAATATTACAGTGCTAAAATCTAAAGAATACAGAATAATGGGCAAAAAGCAATGAAGAATAGAGGAAAATGGCTTATGATTTGAAATAGGATGCAGATAAAACTGATGGCGATTTAAATTTTCATGAATACAAGGGTTACTTTTGATGCTGTAATTTTATATTTATAGTGACACAAATAAGTCGCTGTTTTTTGAGAAAATATTTTTGCTTTCTGAGATGGTTGACTGTAGAAATTAATAGATTGACAAAGATAATTAAATTGTATTTCAGAAGCTCCTATTGAAGAAGGTACAGTGGTACTGACATTCCAGAATGACTTTAAACTTATAACAAGGCACAAAATATTTATAGAATTATTAAAAAAAATATTTATATCATGTCAAGGCTGTATTCACTTATTTCTTTGCAACTTGTCAGTTCAAAAATAAGCAAAGAAATGAAAATCAAAGATTCAAATGATTTTGGTATTTTGTGAAAACCAATTTAAGAAATATAGTTAAGAACTTAAGTTTGTGCCTTGTTCTTGTTAAATTATATGCTGTCAGATTTTCCAAAGTCTAACATATTTGAATCAGTTTATTTCTAGTAACTTTTCCTTTTACACAAATTAAAGAATTGGGAAAAAATGTATTGGAAGTTGTACTAATGCTTCCTATATGATTTATCTGTTAACTCTTTTATGTAGGAATAATTACTGATTCAAATGTCAACTTACTTGAATTTTATACAATTCATCCATCTGATTGGCTAATACATTGCCTCTATCTGGTAAAGCAGATCTAAATCAAAGTACTTACATACTGTTTAGTGGGAAGTATATGCTGGACTTTTAAATCATTAGACAGTGGCGGATCCAGAACTTTTTATAAGGAGGGGCCAGCTGACTGACCTAAGGGGGGCCACTCCAGTCATGCTTCAGTAATTCCCTATATAATCAACCAAATTTTCCCACAAAAGGGGGGCCCAGGCCCCCACTTCCCCCCCCCCTGGATCCCCCTATGTTAGACATGGTGATGAATAGCTAACAACAGACTTTGATATAACCACAAAGATTAGTATACAGATTGAGGGATAAAACCATTTAAATGTATGGAATAAAAATCAACATTTAGGGATTTAATTATTTGAAAACATTTGAAGTAAATTGAATTCTTTAGCAAAGAAAAGATGTATTTTGGATAATTTTTTATTGATTGATTTTCAAAACTGATATGGAGTCTATAGAATCTGCTTTATTCAGTAGAGGTGCTTCATTTCTTTATAACTATTTCAGCACTTTTTTAATCACAATTTGCCAGCATGGTGTGAGCCGCTAATTCTTATATTGCAGTTTACATGGACTACTTTTTTGGAGTTAGAATAACATCGGAGCATGAACCATACTGACAACTCACGTTGAAATATGTTCCATTTATAAAAAAAATATCCTTCCAAATATTTCTTCTTTGTTGTACCTAATTTATAAGAAAATGTATAAGAGATGTTTATTGTTGTATTCTCTCTGCCTTTCTGTTTTGTATTGTTGCAGTAAACAATCTATTGTATCCTTTCTGTATTTGTTGTAAAATTAAACAATTTGAAAAAAATGTAAGTGGATAAATTCCCCTTTAAACTCAGGGGAGATAATTAATGTTAAGATTGATCTTAACTAAACTAGGTTTATAGAAATTATTATAACTAATATTTTCACTTGGTGTAAAAGAATGTTTAATTTTGATATTCAAGGAAGTATTTTTCCACTTTTTGATAAAAATTTGTACTAATAAATTATAATAGTTTTAGAAAAACCTAGATTCTGTAAATATACAGAAGTAATACATAATTTATAACTATCATGATTAACCATATCATATTAAATTGGTCATAGCAGATGATAGCATTTAATCATTAATATAAAATAGAAAAGTTTGATTATTTGCTTTTGAAGTTATAGATAATTTTGAAACTAAATCCACTAATTTTTTAATGATTTTAGACAGGATAAATTATAAATAATAAACTTTGAAAATATCTTTTTTTTTTTTTTTATCTAATTTCATTTCATCATACTTTTGAAGTTTAAAAAAAATATGATTGCCCCCTACACTATTTATTTCAAGTTTTTATATTCATGCAGAAGTTCATTAAAAGAAAATTTTAGGTTAAACCATTTTGTTAATAATTGTAGCAAATCTTGTATGTGTATAAGATTAATTTCATTCAAATTTTACTCATAAATGTTGCTTGTGTACTTATGTGCCTATTCTGTGCTTTGAAAAAAATATTCATGCAAAATTTCAAAGCTGTTAGCACAAGATGCAAGGTTTTAAGCATTCATTTCAAAACTTTTGTCTTGTTCTGCTGTTATTGTTATTTTAAGTTATACATGACATCATAGTTGTATACTGTAAACCAATTTATTTCTGTGTGGATACTTTATTTTGTGATTAGCATACTTTTAGTGACCTATTTTCATGATTTTTCTAAATTCAATGATGCAGTTATGCTAGAAAAGATCTAAGTGGGACATGCACAATTTTTTTCTACTTCAAGTCACTTGAAAAGGGCTTGTGAACATTAGTTGGTTTACAGTTTTTCGAAAGGTACAATCCATTAAAAGATATCCAGAAGTAACCATATGCTACTATAACAAATAAAATAACAAAAAGGTACAGCACATTTTTTTTTTACAAAAAAACATTTTGGGTTACAAAATAGTGACTTAATTCTGAGTGTTAAGATAAAAAATCAATACAGTTATTTTTGGAATACCTCTTGGAATAAATATTGTCTGACAAAATCTACTCTGATTTACAGTCCCACCTAAATTACCAATGGAAACACCGCGACTGACAAGCGTGACAGGGGAGAGAGCAATGTTACACTGGTTGTCTGCCAGGATACCAGCCTATGCCAAAAAAGTTCCCATCACATACATTGTGGAGATTAAAGAAGACAATATGCCAGGTTTCTCACACTTCCAGAGTGGAATTATTGATACCAAATTCCTTCTTGAGGGACTTAATCCTAATATGAGTTACCAGTTTAGAGTAAAGGCAGAAACCCAGTTTGGTTGCAGTGATCCTACATTGGCTATTTCTCTGGATAGAAATAAAGGTATTGTCTGAATTCATGGCAACGGTTAATGAATTATGGGGGAAATGTTGAATCGTTAATTTCCCTGAAGAAATTACAAATTTAGAAACAAAGCAGTTATGCATTCAAATTTTGATAGGAATTAGTATGTATTATATACATATAAAAATGAGTTGTCTCCCATTTGTGCAAGACTTACACCAGGGTATGTATTCACTGGAAGTTTCCTTTGTAAAAAATCATATAGTTTTGAAGGATTAAAGCAAGTTAATACTGTTTGACAGCTGCTAAAAATAGAGCAAAAGTAAACTTCAGATCTGAGTATCACTGAACAACTGAGGTTAATTTAGGTTTAAAAAAATTATATAAAAAGTTTCGAAAAACTGGCATTTTGACTTTCACGATTTTCAAAGGTTGAATAAGAAGTTTTCAATTTTTATATGAAAAAATGTACCCAGACAAATGCCAGATAGGATATAAGGGCTATTCCATTAAAATGTATGTGGGAGGGTAGGAAGGGACTTTCAAAATATCCCTACAACAAAGAACCATTTTTTCTAATAATTTTGCATAACGGTAATGGACGCATACTGAAAAAAAAACCATGACCCACATTCAATAATTAAACTTCCCTTTCTACCCTCCCACATACATTTTAATGGAATAGCCCTAACTCTTTTAAAACTTGGTGGATAAAAAGAGGGTATACCAGAAACCATATTGGTTAACTGTAATTGTGTTTTACTTGTTTTCTTAAAAAAAAAAACAATTATGAAATGTATGAAAATAAAAATACCAATGAAAAGGTACAAATATTTGAGAATGTATATGTTTACAGAGGAGGAGGAGTCAGAACTAAAACTTGAGGATGTACGAAATCTAATACAAACATTACAGGGTATGTAAAGTGTGCCTCTCTGTATCCATGGTAACAACACAATCCCTCAATTCTTGCACTCCTTGAAAACACAGCTGACGCCTTCTTATATACTGTTTGTATTGTTTTTTTCCTCCAAAAACTGGCCTTCAATTTTTCCAAAGCCAATACCTCGGTCAATCCACATCTCCATTTTCCCTAATCTTAACATATCACAGGTGTGTCGACACAGCGTTAAACCATTATCAATCAATAACTGTAAATTTTTAATTATTTGTGTGGATTTATTATTGTAAATGTTGAAGTGTTGACAGATATGTAAGATTGATTATTGAGATTTCAAGAAATGCTGCACACTAATAATGCTTTCAAAATTTGAAATATGAGTTTTTATTATTACGAAATTTATCCCATCACATTTTTTGCAAATATAAAAACTTTAGAAAAAATTTCTAAAGGACTAGGCCCAGTAAGAGCCCTTTTTGGCCCCAAAATATGGCAGTTTTACAAAATTGTTAAATTGTAAATTTTTAGCTATTTATTGGAAAGAAGACAAAAACCATCTGAAAAGTGACATATTATGGCATATTTAATAGATTTTTCATATTTAAGCTTGAATTTGAACGTCTTTAATGACTAAATCAGTTCAAATCTTTCACATAAACTAATTGAATCGACTGAAGTAGACACTTAAGTGTTTAAAAAGTGTCCAAAATCTTTCATCAGATAAACCTGAATTTTGAGGCCAAAATCGGCCCTTACCGGACCTACTCCTTTACAGTAATCCTTTTCTTTTTTTTTAATCTTTCATCAGATTATCTGAGGTTGTTACAAGAACATGCCTTCACTTTGCCACAGGGCAGCGGTAAAGAACTAACTGTTCACTTTGTCACAGGGCAGAGGTTAAGAACTAATTGTTATACGACCGCAAAAAATTTTTTGTGGTCGTATATTGGTATGACGTTAGCGTCGTCGTCGTCCGGCGTGTCGTCGTCCGGCGTCGTCGTCGTCGTCGTCGTCGTCCGGCGTCGTCTGGCGTCGTCCGAAGACACATTGGTTTTCGCACTCTAACTTTAGTTTAAGTGAATGGATCTTTATGAAATTTTACCACAAGGTTCAATACCACAAAAGGAAGGTTGGGATTGATTTTGGGGGTTATGGTAATAACAGTAAAGGAATTAGGGGCCAAAAAGGGGCCAAAAATAAGCATTTTTGTAACTTCCAGACATAACTTGTGTGTTAGTGTATGGATCTCTCTGACATTGTACCACAAGGTTCCATATCACTAAAGGAATGCTGGGATTGATTTTGGGGGTAATTGCCTCCAAATTTTAGGAATTAGGGGCCAAAAAAGGGGCAAAAAACAAGCATTTTTCTAGTTTCATGACAATAACTTGTGTGTAAGTGTATGGATCTTTCTGAAATTGTACTACAAGGTTCCATATCACAAAGGGAAGGCTGGGATTGAGTTTGGGGGTGATGAATCATAATGGGGGTTCAAAAAATTTTGGGGGGGGATTTATTTTTTTTTCCTTTTTTTTCTTTTTTTCCTTTTTTGTTTCTTTTAAAATTTTCCATTATAAGTTGGTTATTTCTGATTTATATTTAAAATCAAATAATAATGATATGGTAGGAGATACACACCAAACAGGATGTGTAAATTATTATATAATAAGTATTGTGCAATAGCAAGAAATTTTCAATTGCACAGTATTGCACAATAGCAAGAAATCTTCAATTGCACAGTATTGCGCAATAGCAAGAAATCTTCAATTGCACAGTATTGCGCAATAGCAAGAAATTGTCAATTGCACAGTATTGCGCAATAGCAAGAAATTGTCAATTGCACAGTATTGCGCAATAGCAAGAAATCTTCAATTGCACAGTATTGCGCAATAGCAAGAAATATCCAATAGCACAATATTGCGCAATAGCAAGAAATTGTCAATTGTACAGTATTGCGCAATAGCAAGAAATATTTAATAGCACAGGATTGTGCAAAAGAAGATACTTCCTATAAATTGCTTATTTCTTGACCAATTTCAATGGGGTTTTATTCTTGATTTCATGGGGTTCTTTAATATGCTGAATCTAACCGTGTATTTAGTTTTTGGATTTTGGGCCCCGTTTTTAAATTGGTCCACATTGAGGTCCAAAGGGTCCAAAATTAAACTTTGTTTGATTTCATCAAAAATTGAATTATTGGGGTTCTTTGATATGCCCAATCTAACTGTGTATTTAGATTCTTAAATTTTGGTTCCGTTTTCAAATTGGTCTACATTAAGGTCCAAAGGGTCCAAAATTAAACTTAGTTTGATTTTAACAAAAATTGAATTCTTAGGGTTCTTTGATATGCTGAATCTAAACATGTATTTAGATTTTTGATTATGGGCCCAGTTTTCAAGTTGGTCCAAATCGGGGTCCAAAATTAAACTTTGTTTGATTTCAACAAAAATTGAATATATGGGGTTCTTTGATATGCTGAATCAAACCATGTATTTAGATTTTTGATTTTTGGGCCCCGTTATCAACTTTGTCCACATTGAGGTCAAAAGGGTCCAAAATTAAACTTTGTTTGATTTCATCAAAAATTGAATTATTGGGGTTCTTTGATATGCCGAATCTAACCGTGTATTTAGATTCTTAATTTTTGGTTCCGTTTTCAAATTGGTCTACATTAAGGTCCAAAGGGTCCAAAATTAAACTTAGTTTGATTTTAACAAAAATTGAATTCTTAGGGTTCTTTGATATGCTGAATCTAAACATGTATTTATATTTTTGATTATGGGCCCAGTTTTCAAGTTGGTCCAAATCGGGGTCCAAAATTAAACTTTGTTTGATTTCAACAAAAATTGAATATATGGGGTTCTTTGATATGCTGAATCTAACCATGTATTTAGATTTTTGATTTTTGGGCCCCCCTATCAACTTTGTCCACATTGAGGTCAAAAGGGTCCAAAATTAAACTTTGTTTGATTTCATCAAAAATTGAATTATTGGGGTTCTTTGATATGCCGAATCTAACCGTTTATTTAGATTCTTAATTTTTGGTTCCGTTTTCAAATTGGTCTACATTAAGGTCCAAAGGGTCCAAAATTAAACTTAGTTTGATTTTAACAAAAATTGAATTCTTAGGGTTCTTTGATATGCTGAATCTAAACATGTATTTAGATTTTTGATTATGGGCCCAGTTTTCAAGTTGGTCCAAATCGGGGTCCAAAATTAAACTTTGTTTGATTTCAACAAAAATTGAATATATGGGGTTCTTTGATATGCTGAATCTAACCGTTTATTTAGATTCTTAATTTTTGGTTCCGTTTTCAACTTTGTCCACATTGAGGTCAAAAGGGTCCAAAATTAAACTTTGTTTGATTTCATCAAAAATTGAATTATTGGGGTTCTTTGATATGCCGAATCTAACCGTGTATTTAGATTCTTAATTTTTGGTTCCGTTTTCAAATTGGTCTACATTTAGGTCCAAAGGGTCCAAAATTAAACTTAGTTTGATTTTAACAAAAATTGAATTCTTAGGGTTCTTTGATATGCTGAATCTAAACATGTATTTATATTTTTGATTATGGGCCCAGTTTTCAAGTTGGTCCAAATCGGGGTCCAAAATTAAACTTTGTTTGATTTCAACAAAAATTGAATATATGGGGTTCTTTGATATGCTGAATCTAACCATGTATTTAGATTTTTGATTTTTGGGCCCCGTTATCAACTTTGTTCACATTGTGGTCAAAAGGGTCCAAAATTAAACTTTGTTTGATTTCATCAAAAATTGAATTATTGGGGTTCTTTGATATGCTGAATCTATCCATGTATTTAGATTTTGGATATTGGACCATAATAGGTGAATGTCCAATTTAAAATTTTTAAGTTCTTAGACCACATTCAATCTGTGTTAGAAACCTATGCTGTGTCAAATATTTAATCACAATCCAAATCCAAAGCTGTATCAAGCTTGAATGTTGTGTCCATACTTCCCCCAACTGTTCAGGGTTCGACCTCTGCGGTCGTATCAAGCTGCGCCCTGCGGAGCATTTTATTCACTTTGCCACAGGGCAGATGTAGAGAACTAATTGTTCACTTTACCACAGGGCAGCGGTAAAGAACTAACTGTTCACTTTGTCACAGGGCAGAGGTTGAGAACTAATTGTTCACTTTGTCACAGGGCAGAGGTAGAGAACTAACTGTTCACTTTACCACAGGGCAGAGGTAGAGAACTAATTGTTCACTTTGCCACAGGGCAGAGGTAGAGAACTAATTGTTCACTTTACCACAGGGCAGAGGTAGAGAACTAATTGTTCACTTTACCACAGGGCAGAGATAGAGAACTAATTGTTGTAGTTAAAAAATATGGTTTTGGTATTTTCCAGACAAAGTAAAAAGACCACTGATAGACTTAAAAAGAGAGGACCTTGAAATTCCACAGGCAAAAATCAGAGATGCTGCTCCTAAAGGAGGTTAGTATTAAGGTCAAAGAACCGTTCAGGTAAAGGTTAAAGGTCAGAGGTTACACACCTTGATATTCCATAGGCAAAAATCAGAGAAACTCCTCCTCAAGGAGGTTAGTACTAAGGCCAATGAAAAGTAAAGATTGAAGGTCATAGGTAGGATGGTTGGGACTTACAATTAAAGGTAATGTGAAGCTTCGCATAAAGTATTTGATACAGGACTTATTTATTTTGATAATATAATGAGTTTTGAATTGAGGTTTTTTTTATGCATTTTTAAAGTGATTTTGTTCTATTGTTTCTTTTTCTTCAAGGGAATGAAGATTGTGAATATTTAAAAATGTAGTTGGTGTTTATTACATTTTTTTCCAACTAAACTGTTTCTTATGATCTCATCCCTGTTTCAGTGCCACCTAGGATGTCGTCCTCCCGACCTCTAATTACCAATCACTACGGAGGAAACTTGCTATTGACGTGGGGTCCTGCACGTGTGCCATCCTATGTTAAAGGTTCTTCATTAAAATATATGGTAGAAAAACGGGAGCCACCACATTCAACTTGGACAGTTCTCGCTGATAATTTAGTAGACAATGAATATGATGTGACTGGATTGAACCCAGAACGTGATTACATGTTTAGAATCCGAGCCAAAAACCAGTTTGGTGCTAGTGATCCCACAATGCCTTGCAGTGTAATCAATGTCAGAGGTATGCTGTTTAAATATTAATTTTATTTTCATGAGGAAACTTAAAATTTGAATGATTATGTACAGAAACAAATTAATTCTTTCTGCATTGATTTTACATGGCAGGGAATTAGTCAGGCATTGTACATTTGTTCCATTATATTTCTTATTTTATGGTATTCAGATGCTGAAATATTTTACAGGATACTTAAAAAAGTTGTTTTCATCTTTGTTTAAAAGACTAATGAGTGTTTTTAGAAATAGAATAAAAACCCTGTTCCTTTACTTTTAAGAGTGTCAAGATTTTCTGTTGGGAATTAATATACCATATCCGTTCATTCATTCATTCCATTGGATGAATTATAATTATAAAGCTTAAAATTTCCTTGATTTTATAGATGACTATGTACCCCCAGTATTCAGCAGATCACAGTCCCGGGACAGTGGAACACCAAGGATGTCTCGAAGATCCTCTATAGAGAGTCCACTTGTCCTCAGCAGGCAGATATCACTTGATGAAAGTGATGACATGTACAGAAGTGGTATGTATTATTCACACTTTAAAATCATCAGGTTTTACTAGGTTTATATCTCCCTTTTGCAAAGTTTGTTCAGCTATTTGATTATGTTTAATAAAAAGTAGGTAATGCCAAAACTCCTAATTAGCAGCATTCTAGGCTATGAATTGACACCAGGCACAATTATTTATGTGTTTTGGTACTTTTCAGTTGTCATATCTTCCTGCTGATACACATAATTAATATAGCTTCAACAAACAAAGCTCCTTTGGAGCTATTGTGTGTAGAGACCGCTTTTCTTCAGTTTTCTCTCTATTACTAATTTGTAAAATTGAGAATGGAAATGGGGAATATGTCAAAGAGACAACAACCCGACCAAAGAGCAGACAACAGCCAAAGGCCACCAATGGGTCTTCATTGCAATGAGAAAATCCCGCACCCGGAGGTGGTCCTCAGCTGGCCCCTAACTAAAATTGTGTGCTAGTTCAGTGAAAATGGACGTCACACTAAACTCCAAAACATATAAAAGAACTAAAATTAAAAAACATACTAGACTAACAAAGGCCAGAGGCTCCTGACTTGGGACAGGCGCAAAAATGCGGCAGGGTTAAACATGTTTTGTGAGATCTCAACCCTCCCCCTATACCTCTAGCCAATGTAGAAAAGAAACATATAGCAATACGCACAGTAAAACTCAGTTTAAAAGAAGTCCAAGTCCGATGTCAGAATAGGTAACAAAAGAAACTTAGCAAAATGACAATGATACATAAATGAACAAATGACTACTAACAGTTACTGACATGCCAGCTCCAGACCTCAATTAAACTGTCTTCATCATATGAAAATCAAGTACAATCCCTCCCGTTAGGGGTTTAGTATCATACCATCATAAAATATATGAGAAGAACATAACCCGTATCATGCCAACAACTGGTTTTAGAATAAATGTGTTTATTTCCGATGCATGCAAAGATGTGTTTAGTTTTCTAAATTTTATATTCTGTACAGTGTTCATAGTATTTGGAATTTGGGTAATTTTAATTTTACCATTTGCTATACTTTCATGATTAACATTGAGTATTATATTCATTTTGATAAAACAAGAAAAATTTCATTTTATTGGAATAATAATTAATAAAGATTATTTTTACAGAGTAAGTTGATGTATAAACTTCTTTTATATTTACTAAACTTAGTAGTAAATACATTGTACAAGTAAATTGTATGTGTAATATTATCAATGTCAATCCTGATGTATCAGGCATTCCTGATGATATCAATATCAGTCAAGGCTGCAAAAGCTTTATCAAACCCCTAATCTTTATTACATAATATTGTGTGAATAACGTCTACATGAAGTATATCATAAAATGTATAAGATATATGGCTTTTTCAATGTCACACACCATATCAACCCTCAGCAGCACTCTGGGGATCATTATGGTGTCTCAGTTTGATTCCAGTGTGATACTGAAAAAGTCATGTGATATTCTCTATTTAAGATAGCCTTTATTACTACAATGATTTATTGTACCTATCATCCTCATTTAAAATCTACCAAAAAATTAACCAAATAAAAAATATGGAGATGTGGTATGATTGCCAATGAAACAACTATCCACCAGAGACTAAATGACATAGATGCTAGCAACTATAGAATTGTGTTCATTTTCTTGATTGTTATTTTTACAGGTATGCCACCAGAATTTAAATCAACAGTGGAGGAGTTACAGTATGGTGTATTAGGGAAAACAGCCAGAATCAACCTAGCTGTCAGGGGTTTCCCACTTCCTGTTATAGAATGGACATTCAAGGGAAATAACTTGTCTGATAAAAACAAATATAAATCTATCATAACACCAAGTGGAGTTATCACCCTTGACATATTTAACCTCTGTTTGGATGACATTGGAGAATATAAATGTACAGTGGAAAACGACAATGGCATTAAAATTATAATTGTACAACTAGAATATGCAGGTTAGTAATTATTGGTGTTCAAAAATGATGCCAAGCTATGTCAAAAATATGTAGGAAAGAAAGGTTATAAATAGATTAGATTAAATAAATAAATAGATCTGTGTGTTTGTGTACCATAGTGATATCACTTAACCAAAAATTCCAAGTTCATGAACTTTTTTTCCATTTTCGACACAATGCATTTTTTATATATTTACACAATTATTGTAAGTATACTTTTTTACAATACATGTTCTTACACAATTCTCATTTATAAAAGTTGGAGTTATTGTGATTAACAATAGTGACTTCTCAATGTTAATGTCTTTTATCTTGTTGCCTTTCATATCTGATGTCTTCTAGCTTGTTGCCTATCATATCTGATGTCTTCTAGCTTGTTGTCTTTCATATCTGATGTCTTCTAGCTTGTTGTCTTTCATATCTGATGTCTTCTAGCTTGTTGCCTATCATATCTGATGTCTTCTAGCTTGTTGCCGATCATATCAGATGTCTTCTAGCTTGTTGCCTATCATATCTGATGTCTTTTAGCTTGTTGACTATCATATCTGATGTCTTCTAGCTTGTTGCCTATCATATCTGATGTCTTCTAGCTTGTTGACTATCATATCTGATGTCTTCTAGCTTGCTGTCTTTCATATCTGATGTCTTCTAGCTTGTTGCCTTTCATATCTGATGTCTTCTAGCTTGTTTCCTATCATATCTGATGTCTTCTAGCTTGTTGACTATCACTGTCTTCTAGCTTGTTGACTATCATATCAGATGTCATCTAGCTTGTTGTCTTTCATATCTGATGTCTTCTAGCTTGTTGCCTATCATATCTGATGTCTTCTAGTTTGTTGCCTATCATATCTGATGTCTTCTAGCTTGTTGCCTATCATATCAGATGTCTTCTAGCTTGTTGCCTTTCATATCTGATGTCTTCTAGCTTGTTTCCTATCATATCTGATGACTTCTAGCTTGTTGACTATCACTGTCTTCTAGCTTGTTGACTATCATATCAGATGTCATCTAGCTTGTTGTCTTTCATATCTGATGTCTTCTAGCTTGTTGCCTATCATATCTGATGTCTTCTAGCTTGTTGCCTATCATATCAGATGTCTTCTAGCTTGTTTCCTTTCATGTCTGATGTCTTCTAGCTTGTTGCTTTTCATATCTGATGTCTTCAAATTTATTGCTTGTCATATCTGATGTCTTTTAGCTTGTTGCCTATCATATCTGATGTCTTTTAGCTTGTTACCTTTCATATCTGATGTCTTCTAGCTTGTTGCTTTTCATATCTGATGTCTTCAAATTTATTGCTTGTCATATCTGATGTCTTTTAGCTTGTTGCCTATCATATCTGATGTCTTCTAGCTTGTTGCTTTTCATATCTGATGTCTTCTAGCTTGTTGCTTTTCATATCTAATGTCTTCTAGCTTGTTGCTTGTCATATCTGATGTCATCTAGCTTTTTGGCAGTCATATGTGATGTCTTTTAGCTTGTTACCTTTCATATCTGATGTCATCTAGCTTGTTACCTTTCATATCTGATGTCATCTAGCTTGTTGCCTTTTATATCAGACGTCTTCTAGATTGTTGCCTATCATATCAGATGTCTTCTAACTTGTTTGCATATCATATCAGATGTCATTTAGCTTGTTACCTGTCATATTTGATTTCTTCTAGCTTGTTGCCTATCATATCTGAATTGCTGTCTATTTGAGATAGAGCAGATTTCTTCTCATAGATATTGAAACCTAACGTATGTGTTCTGTTAAAGGTGTTGATGGATTGATAGCATCAACAATTGTTAAATTTTGTGATTAGGTTACAGTGGTGAGACATATCTGTGTGATTACATATTTTCTCTAATTCTTCATCAATTTATCCCTTTCTGCACCGATTGTATAAAAAAATTTAATCAACATGTGGTTCGTTTGATCTCAGTTCTTCATTGGTTAAAATACGATTGTGACGTCGAATTTTCTTGCTTTCCTCTGAATTTCCTATTGTGATGGCATGAAAAAAGGGGACCATGCCTGATGACGTCACATAGAAAGAACACATCTTTTTGCAGATCATTCGAAAAGAAGGAATAAATTTACCTGCGTATTGTTTGAAAATCATTAGAGAAACAGATTCCACCACCAAATCTCGTGTAATACGATATTTATCCACTCTCGACAGTTAAATTTTAAATATTTAAAACGCTCGGTGCGCCTCGCGTTTTAAATTTGAAAATTTAACTGTCTCGAGTGGATAAATATCGTATCACACTCGATGCAGTGGTAGAATCTATATATAATTAATGCCTGTAAAAAAGCAATGTAATGTTTGATGGTTCTATGGATTTATCTATTTCCGTTGATTGAGATATTTATGATTGTAAATGTTTTATTTCATGGTTTTTTCCAAAGTCAGCATACATCTCTTTTGAAAACTTGTTAATAGTTGAACATTTAAATTCATACTTAACCTGTATCTAAGAAATAAAAAAAAATTGATATCCCACGAATGATAATGGATCCTCAGTAATCTATATTTTTATTTTTTATTTCTAGATGCACCAACATTTATTGAACCGACAGAAGACATGTACCTAGACAGCCACAAGAGTGGTAGGTTTGACTGTAAAGTAGATGGCATTCCATATCCCAAGATACGTTGGATGAAAGATACCCGACCAATAACTGAAACCAGCCGATTGAAGATACAACATACCAAACCAAACCAATGGTCTTTAAGTCTGAATGATGTCATTTCATTGGATAGTGGCTTGTACACATGTGTGGCTGAAAATGTGGCAGGAAAATCCATATCTTCTTCAAATCTGTTTGTTGATGGTAGGTGAAATTAATCAATCGGAATGGCATGTTTGCTACTGTGGATTCATTTACTTTCCTGGGTACCAATCTTGTGGATTGAGGAAAATTTTATGGATATTTGATTTCGTGGTTTTGCCAAAGTCTGCGTATAACCTTATATTTGTAAATCGTTTGAAAAATTAATTTCGTGGTTTACCTGTACCCACGAAATCCACGAAAATTGGTATCCAATGAATAATAATGAATCCACAGTAAGTCACTATGCTATCTGACGTCACTTTGTATGTTCAGTGTTACAGCTGATTATCTATCTTATTTTTTCTGAGGTATAAGCATTCATATACCGGTAACTTTTATTGAAAATACATTCATAAATAATGATCTCTTATATCAAGAAGTGTCTAAATTGATGGTTTGTAAGATTTCATGAAAACAAAACAAAAACCCGTAACATAGAATTTGCAATTTCAAACAGATTTTTCAGTAACTGAGCTTTTTATGACATCAGCTGAATTCATGAGATACTTTATGTTTTAGTTTTTGGTTGCAAAATTACTAGACCTATGGATATATTAAAAGGTCTACAGAGTAAAAATGCAAATAATTATAACCTTGAAAGTAAGTTGGTTTCTAGTATAAGAAAATAACAAAAAAATAAAAGATGCAATGTTAACATTGCTGATCAATTCTTCAAGTTTGAATAAATTTTTCTTCCACAATAAAAAACATTATTCTCAGTCTTTGTATTTAAATGTGTTGATTATAAATGATGATGTATCAGAGTGTAACTGTTTTTATCATAGAATAAGCCATTAAGTGAAATATCATTTATAAGATATATTTTTTGAAATTTTATTTTCTTCTCATATAGCAAAATTATGTTGTAAATACAGACTGATTTGTTTGATTATTTCTCAGTTTTGTAAAAAAACACCAGAAATATTGAGAATGCTAGTTATTGTCTGTCTAGTATTAGGAAAATTTACTGACAAAAATTATTGAAATTTTCAGATGATAGTGATAATGAAGGTAAAAATCCTGTAGAAGAAAATCAGTTTCCATAGCAACATCCCTTTTCCATAATGACCTCATTCTGTGTGCCAGCATGTTAATATTATATCACATTTTAAGACATATTCAAGATCCATTGAACTCAATTTAAAATATTTTGTATTCCCCATTAGAAAATCCTTTCATATCTCTTTGTTTTCCATTACATTATCATGGCTATGCTGGGTAGATTAATTATTTCTCCCATCATACCAAAAACCATATCAGTCTTAACCATTTTTTCTGCAAATTTAATTTACTTTATTTTTTTTTTGAGCTATTAAAAAGATTGTTAGATAATTAAATCAGTATTTGGTAGTGAAACAGCAGGATTTAAGTTAACTAACATTTTTTTAATACACCTTTTATAGATATAAGAAGATATGGTATGAGTGCCAATGAGACAACTCTCCATCCAAGTTTGCATGTTTTGCTAAATTAAAATAGATTTGACTACTTGCAGAAAATTTGGTTGGCACATGAAATGGTTCAGTCAATAATTATTTAGATATGGTCACTTGAATAGTATCTATTCCACTAATGTGTGAGATATTTGATTTAGTTTCCAGTGAATTAAGTAATTTTCCTTCTTTATTCTGTTGTATTCTAATGTTTTCTAGTTTTTAGCTGAAAACAAACGACATGATTTATATGTATTTTTTTTTATTTTATTGATATATTCATATGTAGAAGGTTCCTTAGACACTTTAACATCATTACATGTAATGACTTTTTGAAATTTATTGCAAATAAAAAAAAAAAAAAGGAAATTGCTTCATAACCTGTCTTCATGAAAGGGAGTTCAGTTCTCTGACTTTTAAAAAAAAAGTGTTTCTTTTTTTCAATATTATTTGACATTATTTAGTTATCTATCTTGTAGAAAGAGAGAAACAATTTCAAGAGTACAATCAAAAATGATAAGGTGAATTAAAAGGCAATATATCATGGCCAAAAAAGAAAAGCAATGAAAAGACAAACAACAATATCAAAACATTAGCATACTGTCATGGAAACCTTATTTGTTCACATAATAAAGAGTATCATGGCTACCTGGCATTCTTTAATGATTGGATTTATTTGAAAGTTAATATTAAAAATTGAATCAAAATACCGGAACATGAAATTGTGAAGAGTAAAATAAAATATCATCAATAACAAGAAGCATGTCTACCCTCTAAAGAAATCTGATGTTGGTGGCTTTATTTTCTTTCATAAAAATTGCTCATCAGCAAATCTTGATTACATGTTATCTCCCACTTAAAAAATAATTCTGCAAAGGGAATCTCCCACTTTGGAGGTTTTAAGAGTTACCACATAGATGATCCTTAATTTTTTCATGATAAGCTGAACCATATAGGTAGAATTATGTTATTTACCAAGCCACAGCGGCCAAGGTTGTCAAATATATACTTTAATTTGTAGAACTTGAGACAACAACCAAACAAATATCTTTCCGTGAGGCTGTGTTTGAAGATTATTACTATCCACTTGAGGAGTTAGGCCGAGGTCGGCATGGAATTGTCAGAAGAGTAATACAGAAATCATCTGGAAAGGAATATGCAGCTAAAATGATCCCAGCATGCAATGAGGAACTGAAATTTTTCTTTGGACATGAATTGAACAATTTACGTCATATTAATAACCAACGTGTTCCATCCGTAATTGATGCTTTCCAGTCGGAGAGACAGTTGGTCATTGTAATGGAACTGTATCCTACGATCTGCATGAATGGTTTGAGATTGCATGGTTGAGTGATTTATGCATGACCTTTGAAGATGCAGAATAGATTTGAAAAGGTGAATGGTGATTATTTCTGTATATGTTGCTGCGTTTTTAAATTTTTTAAAAAGGTATGCCTTGGTTTGGAAAGTATCCTTTACTGAATAAAGACAAGTTTCTGTCGAAAGGTATGTTAGGTAGTTTTCAAAAAAATGAAATTGCAGAGAACTCTTATTTATTTTTGTTCAATTTCTGTTGATAAGTATCTCTAATCCTGTGTAATAACAAATATTTAGCCTGGAAAGCACAATATCTTCATGAAATGAAGACAAATTTTATGGAGAAATTCTCTTTTCAATGTAGTTATTTCCTTTGATGGTTTATCAAAATAGTTTGACTCCTTTCATCAATATTAAAGGATAAACTCTTACATTACATCATTAGTACAAAGGGGAATATTGTAGCACTGCTTTACCTAGTTATGTAAAAATAAAGATGTGGTATATAATTACCAATGTCTACAATGTATGTGTCATTAAACTTCTTCTTAATTAACATGCATTTTTATGATCTGATGTGTAATTGTGCTTTATCAATCTTTTTAAAAAAATGTTTGATTTTTAATTGCAGCTAAGTGCATGATACTTAAATGGTAGTACAGAAGCATGGAGTGTGTAGTACTGATTGTAATTACATGTGTAGTATCCTATCCTATCCTATGTTATGATGTGTGCAGTATCCTATCCTATCCTATGTTATGATGTGTGCAGTATCCTCTCTAAAACTAACAATTTAGATTTGATGTTCACAGACTTCTAATTTTAATTATTTTGTTAGATTGTTTTGAGTTTGATTTTTTCTAAAACTTAGTTTATTTATATTTACATCACACGAGTACAAATACAATAGGCACAGACTTTCACAGTAAGATTGTCCGAGTTTTGTTTTCATGCCCAAAACAATGGGTACTTTCTTGGAAAGACCATTGTTTTTGCCAGATTTCTTGACTCATTCATTGACCAGCAGGATGTCAGAGTGTAAAGTTTTATGTAGATTGTGTAGAGGGTAGGCCTTAGTTATTAATCTGACCACCTATTAAAGTGCTATCATAAAAAAGAAACAATTCTCTTTAGAAGTCTGTGAATAGCTGATTCAGTCAAAATGCCAAAATTCAGATTTTTTTCCATATTAAATAAATTTGGTGCACATAACTTTAATAAAGATTTTATAGCCCTTTTCTTATCAGTAGTAAATATATTTCTATGCAATTTTAAGAACCCATTTGGACTTCTCACTTGCCTTCTTTGGTCTTCAGGAAAAAAATTAGTCACTCTCCCAGGAAAGATTTAGTTTTAAATGAGTTTACAGAATAGAGATTAATGGCCAAAATAAAGATAATTAAAAATAAAAAGAGAAAGATTAGAAAATAAGTAGGCAAAAAAGATCAAGAAAAGAGAAAAATAGGACGCTTACATATTTCCTTAACCAATTTCATCAGTGTCAAAGGGAGATCACTGATAGACCACATCTTGTCCCAGGACAAATGGACTGAAAGTGAGGCTGTGAAGTATGTCAAGCAGCTCTTGGAAGTGCTCAGAAATATCCATGCATCAAGCATTGCTCATCTTGATATCAAGGTAAAAAATATTTTCAAGTAGTTTTTATAGGGAATTTCTAAAATTCCTACCATTAACAAATTTTAAGTGAACATTAGACACACGTGAACATTTCCTGATGCACTGAAAATAGAGTAATACTGTATAAATATCTTTTTAATATTGTTTAGTTTTGCAGCTGATTTTGTTGTTTCCATAATATTTAAGGATAAAGACGGAGTAGGACCATTTATCCATTTTATCAGTCTTGAATTGACATTTAAAATTTTGAAATGAAAATTTTACATCATTTTTTCCCTAAAACTTTAAGAAATCTAAAATAACTTATATAATATTTTTTCCAGCCATCAAATATTTTCCTCTCAACCCCCGATTCAGATCAGATCAAACTGATAGACTTCGGACTGTCTCGTCACATGTCTGTGGATTATGATGTCAAGTTAAACTATGGCACAGAAGAATTTACCTCCCCTGAACAGATTAAAAATGAAACTGTTTCCTCAGCATCAGATATGTGGAGTGTTGGCATTCTGACTTATATTTTGTAAGTAAAGCTAAAGATCACTTTAGCAATAAGCATTTGGTTACCTGTAATTATCTGCCCCAAATAAAACAAACCTTTGAATCATATCATGACCATTTACTATGTTGTTATGCAATATTTTGATATTTTCTGGGTATGGTTATCTCCCCTTGATGATTCAAAGTTATGAAGTTGTGTCCCCTGTTGAAGAATATTGCTGCAACTTCAGCAGATGATAATTAGAGTATCAAGCCTCTTTTTTTGTCTAGCCTGGGATGAAAGCCGTTGAAAGCGAGACATAGGTGTTGCTTTTCTGGCAGCATTGCTTGCAAAGGATGCATCAACAATTGTTAAGTTTTCTGCTTAAGTCAGTTTGATAGGAACTACTTGTGATAGATCAATGATAATTTGTATACAGTTGCATTACAATCAGTACATATCAGTTTGACAACTATTTAAAGGCCATGCCCCCTGGTCAATGTCAAGAGACTTTCAATCGATAAGTAATTTTCAATGCTAAGTTTTCTGCTTAAGTTAGTTGGATATGAACTTTTTGTGATAGATCAATGAAATTTCTCAGACCTGCCAACTATCCCGATTTATGGGGATATCCCCCATGAGAGGTGTTGACCTGAATTTTTAAATTTTTTAATATATAAGCTGAACACCTCAAAACAGGCATTCAAATGAGTTAAAAGGGTATTCAAGCACATATATACTCATTCAATCAATACTGTAGTAAATTAAGAACACTTATGACAATATAAGAGGAGTATTATGTCCTATTGCGCTTAAAATCCCCCATGGAGATTTTGTAAAGTTGGCAGGTATGATTTCTATAAAGTTGCATTACTATCAGTACATATCAGTTTGGCGACTATTTCGAGGCCATGCTCCCTAGGTCATGGTCCAGCAATTTTGAATTGATTAGCAGTGATGCTGTCTATCAGATTATCTTATTTCGAGTTTCTGCTGACCAGGGAGACATATCTCTGTGTCAACAGTTTATTTATTTGTTAACATTGTGACATCTTATTAATAGTTCAGAATATAAAACTTCCCTTCCCTTCACAGTTTAACATTTAATCAAGAATTCAACTTCTGATAGAAAGCATTTAAAAATTTTGTGGATATATAAACTGTCCCTGAACTGACTCTCTTTTATGAATAAAGATGCTTAGAGAGTCCACATTTTAATCAGCATGCTTTTTTATCGAATACTTTCCTTTGTATTATATGTTTCTTGTTATACATGAAATTCCCAAAATATAAATGTTTGTAATTGTGTTCATTTCAGATTGAGTGGTGTATCTCCATTAAGGGGAGACAATTATTCTGAAACATTGAAGAAAGTGATGGAAGGCAAAATAAACCCATTGGAGGAGAATTTCAAACATGTGTCAGAGGATGCTATAGACTTCTTAGCAGAACTTTTAGTAGTTGATCCATGGTAAGGATGAAAGTGTTCAGTGTATAGCTCTATAAGTGCCTCGTTGTGATTTGAGAGTCAGATCAGCTTACTGTCTTATGAATGTTTATTTTCCAAGTTACTTATTGTCATGTTGAGCCCTTTCCATCCAACTTTGCGGCATTTTTGTATGTACTCATATAAGCTTACATATTTTTATGATTTCTATTTACATTATTTTTGTAAAAGATGTGTAAATGAATTGCTCATGAAAATTACCAATAAATGAACTTGTCTGAGAAATATTTATTCTGCATTTTAAAATATCATTGAAATAAATTTATATGATCACTGGTCAGTGCATGTGATTATAGTTTTCACCTCTCACTATTAGGTTTAGATTGAACACATATATTTTGTCTATAATTCCAACAGAATCGTAGAATCAACAATCAAAATAAAAATGCACTCAATAATTTCAAATTTTATAGTACAAGAGAATTGGTAGTCAATAGTACATTTTAGTTATCTCAATTTTCATGGATTTCATTGGTAAAGGTTAACTGGGAATTTAACTCTTTAACCAAGGAACAAATTTTCTATAAGCTTGTGGGCAGATTTTGGCAAAACCACAAAATCAAATATCCACGATTTCAAAGTGAAATATTCCCTCAATTCACAAAAATTGTTAATTACGAAAACAAATGAATGTATTCAATTTCAGTATTAACAATAAATGCTATTTTTAGACTTGGTATAACTAAGATATTTTTCCTGTTTACAGTGATAGATTAACAGCTGCTGAATGTTTACAACATTCTTGGATAAAAGAGTCAGCAGAGAAGAGCAACAGTCCACTTGACCTTGGCCCACTTGTTTCATTCCAAGCTAGTGATTTAGCACAGGTATGTAATGGTCAAGGATACACCGAATCTTAAATTTATTTGTTTACTTGACTTCCAGTTTTTCATAGATTTTCAGACATGCGAATTGATTTTTATGAAAAAGTTAAGTTTATGTAAACTATAGTTTTGGTTGAAGGTAGCACACCTTGAAGTTTTGGCCACATCAACTAGAAAGTTTGTACACATATTCATTATGATGTGAACTGTTTCTAAATACATATTATTACATTACTAATATGTTTCATAAGAATTTATACTTTTATACTTTAATACTGAAAACAATTGCCAGGCATTGTAAAATTATATTTTATTTCTAATAAAATGCAACATTCATGACAGCATGCTCTTCCCATAACAACATCACAAAAATGCAGAGTAAACAAATGAAATTTTGATATTACTGGTAATTTAATGATTGTAGAATATAAATGTAATTGTAATAATCAAATGATTTTTTTTTTGTAATTTTTACATCGAATGACCGTGAGGGCATTCCGGTGTATTGCTGTCGCATAGATTTCCATTACGTAACTTTCGTGTTGGGATTGTAACCGATCTATAAACATGATAAATACGCGGACATTATCGAGTGCAAAATAACATTCCTTATCGCTTGTTATAATTTCATTTTTTCAATGGATACTCCTAAAAATATTTTTTTTAGAACATAAATTAATAATATGAAAATGTTTTGTCGTTAAAAATATATATATAAGTAAAAAATCTTTAGTATCTATGCACACGTACAGAAAATTGCGGAAGAATATCTCAAAAATGAGAGAGCGAGGACTGATAACTCTGCATGGGAGATTGAAAGTTTGGCAGGAAAATATGAATGCCTACTCAAATCCAATCTATTAGAAAAATCGAATCATTACAGAAGAGTGTCCACCATGCACTTGCACTGCACTATTATTAATATAGTAGAATAGAATGATATACAAATGGATGAAAATTATATATACATGTAACTGTAATATAAAAATATTAATATAATATAGAACAACAAACCAGAGTATACTTCAATATCATATTTATTACGGTGAGGTTGAATTCCCTGTCATTTATTCATCATCCACGTAGGAACTTGTCTAAGAAAAAGAAATTATATCTGTACATTAACCTCACTTTCAGGTATAAAGATGTGATTTTTTTTTCTGAGACAAGTGCTTGTGGCCATCCACAAGAACTTGCAGTCATCCGATGTTCAGTACTTCAGTACTTTGATATAGGGTTGTAAAAGCGTTGATTCGCAGTAAACACACTTTTAGTCTGAAGTGCTATTGCTACACCCCAATTAAATAACAAAAAAAAGCATTCAATTCTTAAATAGAATCTTGCCAAATTAAGGTTTCAACAAAGATATCAGGGTTCAGTGAACATGGAAATGTAAAAGTATGAGTGGGGCATGGTGTCTATTTGACACATATTCTTGTGGTGCTTTCATATGAAAATAGTGAAAAAACTATACACCGTAAAAATAACTGAACATGCTGTAAGTGAATTTGTTTTATCTTTTTGCAGAGAAAAGTATCAAGTTTAAGAAGCATACCACAGTTACACTGTCTGACATCTGTTCTTGAGCAAACAGTCCCTGTAACCCCATTCACAACATCCAAAGATAATGAATCAGGAAGTCAAACATACCCTGATTGTGAATACTTTGGTGAATATGTAGACGAGGAATCCTGGTATGACTGGCAAAACAGATACCACAGAGGTCCAGGGGCTAAAGTTGTGCCACTGACGGAGGCTGAGTACTTAGCAAGAGTCCCTGGATTGAGGACCACACGCAGGATGACAGATGTGGATGATGAGGACGTGGAGGCAACAGTCAGACGAAAAACATCAGTGATGGAAGCAGATCGGGATATCCATGAGGATCCGTGTTTACGTAAAGAATTACAATATGGGGTAGTAGCTGATGATGTAAAGCAGAGGAAGAAGGCTTCAAAAGATCTATTTCCTAAAGATGATACGAAAGGTATTGATGCTTTTTGATTGGTTGTTTTCTAAATTGTTGACAATTTTATATTATTATGGAAATACAAAAAGTTATTCAATGTCTCTAAGTAATACAAAAGTCATGTTATAAAACAAAATAAGAAATTGATCCTGCTATTCTTTAGTTGTAAACAATTTTTATATCCCTGCTCCACTAAGTGAGGTTATACTGGTTAACTTCTATCTGTTTTTCCATTCATCTGTGCATTACACTTACTGTCACAAATTTTCTCAGCAACTAAAAGTCATAGTTAATTGATATTTTGCACCCAGCTTCATCTGCTTATGCCACATCCTATAACAAATTGTCAAAATAAAAATAAAAAGATGTGGTATGATTGGCAATTCTCTCTACATTATATTGAAAATGTAGTCTACTAATTATAAAGAATCCAGAGTACTTACTTGATAAAGAGCATTGTATTTGTGGTATATTTTCCTGCTCACAATGTGAATTTCTTAAGAGTCTGACTGATAGATATAAGAAGATGTGGTATGACTGCCAATGAGACAACTCTCCATCCAAGTCAAAATTTATAAAAGTAAACCATTATAGGTCAAATTACGGTCTTCAACACGGAGCCTTGGCTCACACCGAATACATGTATTTGAAACTTCAAAATATTTGATATTGAATGAAATTTGATTTCAGATGAAAATCCACAGATTGTGACCAAGTTCCATGATCTTGCTTTTACTCCTGGAGAAAATATTGTCCTAAGGTGCACTTTGGATATTGACGAACCTCCAGCAGTAACGTGGTACAGGAATGAAGAACTAGTATCTGAGAGTAGTCGTATTTATATTAAAGTAACAGACAATGGCACTTTGCTGACAGTTGTCTCTGCTAAACCATATGATTCTGGAATATACAAATGTGTTGTGAGAAGTAAAGGAGGAAAAGCTACTGCAGCTGCTAGAGTCTTGGTTGGAGGTAACTTTAATATTTAATACTTCAAACTAAGATATTAGTATTATGCATTTTTAATGAAGCAGGCAATAATATTTTTTTTGCATTTTAATTGTTACTAGTTACATGTAAAATCACAAAAATACTGAACTCCGAGGAAAACTCAAAAGGAAAGTCCCTAATCAAATGGCAAAATCAAAAGCTCAAACACATCAAAAGAATGGATAACAACTGTCATATTCCTGACTTGGTACAGGCATTTTCTTATGTCGAAAATGGTGGATTGAACCTGGTTTTATAGCTAGCTAAACCACTCACTTGTATGACAGTCGCATCAAGTTCCATTATATTGACAACGATGCGTGAACAAAAGTAACAGACACAATAGGTAAAAATGTCAAAAATAGGGTTACAGCAGTCAACATTGTGTTATAGTACATTTTTAATGTACATAAATCACATTGATTAATGTCACACTGTTGTCAGTTTGTAAATTTCAATAATAATTGAACACATTCTATATTGACAATGATACTTTCAGTGCTGTTTTTTAGCTGGATATTGGTTAATTTCGTAATCAGTTTTCTAGATAGAAAATCAGTTCTATAGGGATCAAAGAACTCTTGATGGTTGTATTAAAGGAGCCATCTTCATTTTTAGCTCAAAGGGCCAGTATGAACTTTAGCCATCACTTGGTGTCCGTTGTCTGTTGTTGTCAGTTAACTTTATTTACAAGGCTGTTTATTGGGGTTAGTAGCTCTACTCCTTTTGCCACAATCATCATCTAGTTTAAGAATTGTTTCTGATGACCCTGCCTACCAACCAACATGGCTAAAAATAGAGCACAGGGGTAAAATACAAGTTTTGTTTAATGTCTTGAAAACTATAGATAAAGAAAATCTGACAGAGACAAAATTGTTCAGAATGATGAGATCTACCCACTGTTTATTTACATCAAACCTGTCAGATGACCTCTTATAAGAGTAATTGCTTTATTTTAACAAATTTTACCAATTTATTTCATTTTTGACTATTATCTTGAAAATTATTATAGATAGACAGAAACTTTAAATTGCAAAAATGATCAGCAAGACAAGATCTACAAATAAGCCATCATGGCAGAAATCATCAGTCAAACAGTTGTTGATGTTATTGGTCCTTAAAGACGATATTTACCATTTTTTTTACTTTGCCTTCTCACTGCTATTATTTTGAAAACTAATATACATGTGTATAGATAGAATTTTTAAAAAGCAAAAAGATCAGTATAGATAATATTGTCAGTTCTCTCCTTATAGGAGTAATTGCTCTTAAATGTAATTTTTAGCCTTTTTGTGTTTTTGGCAAAAACTAAAGAAGTTAGATAGAAACTCTAAACAGAAACAAAAGAACAGCACTACATGTTCAACAAAAAAAAAAAGAGACTTTAGTCATGAATTATGTTCTAGTCTAATATGATGAAGAGTAACTATTGTTGAAGATGCACATAGACCTAGGTGAGCCTCTAGTTTTTTAGCAGAATCAGTCAACAAGATTGTCTTTCCTTGTTGCTCATTTGTTTCAAATCAATTTTGATATTTTGTTCTATTTAATCACTGAACATGCTGAACACATGTACAACCAATCTTTAACTCAAATTAAAGATTGCATGCATATGGGCCCAAATGTGGTAGTATTTGTCTTGCAAGAAAATGATATATCAAAGATGTTTTTTCAGCTTATTTTAAAAAAATTCAACCAAACTGGTGCTGTTAGTTAACTCTTATTTCAATATTCTGCTTTTATTAATGTTTGAAACAAACAAAAATCATACTTTATTTTTTGGTCCAAATTGTAACAATGTCCCTTTAATATGAGGATATAGGATATAGATTTGTGTTACTTGTACATTTATGACTTCAATTTTCATACATTAATAGTTTGAATCTAATGAAACACTTTAAAAGAGTTTGATTAAGAAGTTGTATTATACAAGCACAATATTTTCACATTGAAGATGTTCCTAGTCAGCCAAGCAGACCAGTGGCAACACAAGTATCATCAACACAAGCTTTGTTGCTATGGGAACCTCCAACAACCAATGGAAACTCTTACATCACAGGATACAGAGTTGACTGCAGAAAAACAAGTAATTTTATTGAGTATTTTTTCATGTATGACCATTTTAATAACTTAAACCTGGGTTGAGATAGATATTTGAATCAGTTACGCATTTTCAATGGTTAGTTTCATTAATGCTTTTTAAGCATTCTTGTGACATAAGTTAAAATAATCTATGTTACTTCGAAGCTTAGAATATATTCATGTAAAATAGTTGGCACAACATGCCAGTGATTTGTAAGAGTTATTTCCCTTAACTTATGGTATAAATCAGTAAACTAAGATAAGTTATGTGAGGTGATCTCCCTTTGGTAATTATGTGTCAACAAATGTCACACTTGTAAGTATAGAATGTCTTCATAATGCATGGAAAGTATTGTCTGTAATCCATTGGTCAGGAAATTACGTGGAAGAAATAAGTTTATATTCATCCAAAATTACACATATTGGATATACTCCTTTCTTTGAGATTTGTATTTATTTAGCCCACACTATCCTTTTGGAAAATTCAGAAAGTTTTGAGCCACAATAAGTAGTCTCAGCTACGAAATCTATAGAAAAGTTATTTCTTTAACCTTTATTTGAATTTTGAACCTTGTTTAGATATTTTACATTTGTTTTCTTTACAGATGAAAATTCTTGGTTGACTGTTGCACACCCCATTGATGAGTGTACAATTGTAAAAGATATGGTGCCCAATACATCTTACAGATTCAGAGTTTGTGCTTTAAACCAGTTTGGTTTCAGTGCTTACAGTGTTGCTTCCCCTGAAATTGTAACAGCTGAAGGTAAAGCATCTATAAATTTATTCTACTTGCATCCTGTTCAAGTTGTGATTTGCAAATGAAAAAATACTGAAATTTTGAACTGATGCATCATGTTCAGGGGGTAATTTGCAAGAAATACCAATGGAGAGAAGATAACATTTTATAAGTAACTAGGGAAATGAAATTTCTTTTCAAGACTGGTATCTTTTACAAATACCACTCCTGAATATGACATCTCTGTAAATTACAAATACCAAAACCAATCTAGAAGGTTAATTCGAGCATTCAAAATCAGAGCAAAAACCGCAACATTTAACTAAATAAACAAAAAATCAAGATTTTTAAGGACAAATACTTTTTAGCAAATACCATGGAAGAGAAGCTATTTAGAAAAGAAAAACCCTAGTGTTAATATCCAATATGTTAGTGAAATTTGAAATAGGAAAAAAATTAAAATTATCATGCAGCTAGTCATTTCAATTTCAATTTTACTCACAGCTTTTTAAAAATCTGTTAAGTATTAAAACACGCCAGATGTGTGTTTCATTTATATAATACTCATAAGTGGTGCTTGAAACAAAACAGATGGAAGGCTGAATCAAGTATCAAGTTGAAGAGTATTAACCTTAAGGTGGTACATAACACTACAGGGAGATAACTCTGTAAAAATCAGCTGGCCACAGACCACAATTAAATTCTCTATTAGTTCTTTATAACGTTTTGTTTCATTAAAATAATTGCACCGATTCTTTTTGTCAAATATTTTGTGTGTGTAAAGTACAGTACTAGTCCAAACATATATCCAACATTCAGAAAGATTGCACCCCAGTATCTTACAAATTTAGCCAATACACATCCATACCCCTATGGACAAGTCAAGAGATGTTCCGAAAACTGTAAATATCACCTTTTTGTACCTGGCCTAATCACTCTTTCCATATCAAAATCAGTTAAAATACAACATCCAAAAGTTTATTTCACCTCTCTTCTTTCATTTCCATCCCAAAAAAAACCTAAGAAATGAGTGAGGAAGGGAAAGATAAAAAATTAAGAAAAAATACACTAATTAAAAGGATTTATATTCGTGGACAATGAAAAGTGGGATCATTAATTGTGGTCTGGGACCTATTAGAACGTTTTAATCACGCTTTATTGTTAAGAAAATATTAAGCTTCTAAATGATCAAAATTAGTGTTTGTCAAACTGCTATATATCCAATGAAATTTTTCCGATAAAGTGTGTGGTTCAAGTTTTTTCAAATTTTTACATTTTTATCAAAGAGTCAAAGTAAATATTTTGTCGAAATTTTATGAAAATTAAACAAGCCAAATTAATTTAAGTCAAGGTGTTTGGTACCACCTTAACTGTATCTTAGATTTAAATGATTTTTCACAACATTCCTTAAAAAGATCCTCATAAAATTATGTAACTCATTTCACCAGACTTTAAAAACTGACAGTTGTCTAAATATCTGTTTTTACAGAATATTGTTTAAATTTTCAGATGGGGATAAAATTGTATTGGATGAGTACACCAGTGCAATCCTGGCAAGACAAAGTGGTGTGCATCTGATGCCATCACTGCCATCTATTGGTCCAGTACAACTAACCGAGGGATCCTTCAGTGAAAAATACCAGCTTACAGAAACAGTTTATAGGTAACGCTTCATAACATCACATAAGAGAAAATATTGTATGAATATTTAGGAGAGAGAGGAAGAGATGGTCTGAAGTAAGAAAACACAAACAACAGAGAATATGATAAGTGGGTTAAAACATTCATTGGAAAGAAAGTTGCTGGCTCACACCTTTTCATAAAAATAGCCAAGCTTAAAGAACCTATTTCTTATATTGAACAGAAATCCCAATACAAGGCTTGAACATTTTAAAAGGAGGGACCTTGGTAAGGTGAGATAAATTGTTTAATCTGTAATACCTTTGTAAATGTCAGTTTTAGAAAGCGCTCACATGAAACAGAAGTAGAATAATCTGTGTTACATTGAAGCTTGGAATATATTTATGAAAAAAGTCCTGGGCCCACAAGGGGTCTCTTCCTACATGAAGGTATACACAGACGTGCTGGGATTAGACCCTTTATTGATACGTCAAATATAGCAATGGGTTGTAATTTCACCAAGGTAAAACATCAATGGGTCAGTAATTTTCATCTTTCGACTAGATTTTTGTATAAATCAAGTTTAGATGTCAAAAATTGTATATGTGATAACTGAGAAGTATGTGAATGTGTTATGATTTTCCATGAAATGTATTTCACAAAACTTCAATATATGAATGGGAGTGTTTTTCAAAGCCCGGCTACAGGTGTACACAACATCCCATGTTGACACCCCCTCAGTGCATGACCCCCTTATAAAGCTACATCTGTTGTTAATGCATAGACTTTTTACACATCCCACTCCTTACATTGGTGGCCCCCTCCCCTTTTTAAAAATTGTGGATCCCCATCTGTCAATGGACAATACCCTATCAACATAGATAAATGCAATGAGACTGGTAACAAAGATACATATGAACAACAAAGCTTTGGGCAGTATTAATGCCTACCAAGGGAGATAATTCAGATGGTATGATAGGTAAGTATATTATGATTCACTTGTGATGGATGTTCTTCACTGTAAAGCTGGATGAACTGAAAATTTTTAGAAGTGCACCTTGAATATATTGATGCCAGACTCTTAGTCTCAATCTTATGTTTTAATTGAAAACGTCCATAAAACTCTTATAAGACCTTTTTAGCCGAACTATCTGTTAAATTACATTACTGTATTGCAATTGAATACTAGTCAATCTCAGTCTGAAAAAACAAAGTTATTAATTTTGGGATGTTAAAATGTTCAAAAATTTATATGTTGCTCCGTAATGGCTAAACTCATACTGTATTTTTGCATTTTGTTTCATTTCAGTGGAAAATTTTCTGAAATTAAAATTGCAGAGAATACTTCAACAAAGAGATCCTATGCTGCAAAAATAATTCCATGTGACAAAGACAAAAGTTCAACAGAATTTGAAATATTGAAATTAATGAACCATGAAAAAGTCATCAGATTGTATGATGGATTCTTATTCAGTGAGAAGCTTTATATCATCACTGAATATTTGTGTGGTGTAAATGTTTTGCAGCATTTTGCTTTCAAGTCAAAATATTCAGAAGACATGGTTGCCATAGTGATACGTCAGATTTTGGAAGGTGTGCAATATTTACATCATGTGGGTGTGGTTCATTTGAATCTACAACCAAGCAGTGTGGTTATGAGAAGCAGACAGCATTTGGATGTGAAGATATGCGGGTTCAGTCATGCAAGGAAAGTGTCTGGCAATGGAGAAGTTGTCCCTTGTGAGGGATATCCCGATTTCATTGGTAAATATTTCAAAAAGTTAGAAGGTTTAAAATTAATAAGTTGGTTGTATAAACATCAGTGTAATCAAAATTTAAGTTATTGGTACCCTTTTTCATTATGTACTTTTGATTTTATTTCTGTTTTTATGGTATGAATTATAGATGTGGGATATGTCCTTATGAGACAGCAACTCCACAAAACAATGGAGACTTAAATAAGACATAGTTATAATATTTGGTTGTAAATACAATAGAAATAAGAAACGAAATTAAGCTTGGGCAAACAATATTGTCTTACATAACTTAATATAGAAATTTTCTGCATTATTGAGAATATAAAAACATTTCTTTTTTTAACTCACCTGGCCAAAAGACCAAGTGAGCTTTTCTCATCACTTGGTTTCAGTCATTGTCGTCATAGTCCGTTGTTATTAAGCAGTTTCCATTCATCAAAAGAAAATAGAAAAATAACATTTGATTTGCTGAAATGTTAAAGTATCCTCTGCAGTACCCAAAGAATACATGAATTTTTGTGTCCAAAATATTGCAAGAGTTGCATTCTTGAAAGCTATATGACCGAGTCAGTAACAGGTAATGCATATTTTTCTTCATTTTTATTTTTAGCTCCTGAAGTTGTGACAAGGAAGATAACTTCATATTCAGCTGATATTTGGACTGTTGGTGTCCTCAGTTTTCTTCTGTAAGTAAAACATAAGCTATGCATAGCCTTAAGGATGCTGGCTGTTGAATATCAAAATATATTGTTCCTAAATGAAGTATTTTCTTTTATAGGTAATGTAGAATGCAATCAAATTATGGGAGAATAAAGAAAGATCTGTGTGTTTGTTTTTTCAATCACAAGCATTTGAAAAAATTGGTAGAATTTTTCAATGAAATATATGAAGAATTGTGGTCAAACAATGAAAAAAATGCTTTTTTTTTTACAGTTCCTTTGTTTGTCATTAAAATCCAGTGAAGTATAAAATTTTGGTTTCAATGTGAATTGTAATGCTTTATTCTTTAAATGGAATTTAGAATTAAATTATAAGGACTGACTGTAATATTTTTCTGTCTATTCAAAATAACATCAAAAATGTGGTGCACACTGAATAATCCGCGTAGCACGTTATTTAAAAGTGTGCACCACATTTTTTAGGTTATTTTGAATAGACAGAAAAAATATTACAGTTAGTCCTTATAATTTAATTCTAAATTCCATTTTTAAGGAGTTAATCATAAAAAAAACGTTAATGACGTCACGGTCACATGACAAAATTATGTCAATGAGCTGATAGACAGAAAACTTTCAGCCAATCAGAAGACGTGTTGCATCCAGAATTAAATTGTTTATCAATAAACCAAACTCAATATTTTTCAATTTGTAAAAATATGAAAGGCCAATATTGACCCTTACAGAACTTTAAAATGCCTCAGACATTCAACCAACAGATTTTGAACCACCATCATCACTAACTGCAAAAGTTCATTTTCATTTCTGTACTTTGAATAATTTTTTCAGCATTTTGTGTTGTTTTTATTACAGACTTAGTGGCGACTCACCCTTCAGAGCCTCAAGTGTAGAAGAGACATATTTTAACATAGCATACAGTCGATATGATGCCCATTCATTGTATGACAATATAACAAGAGATGCTCTTAGGTTTATGAACAGGATAATGAAAAGAATACCAAAGTAAGAACTATAAACAAGGTTAACATAACCCCCTATGAAGAAAAATATTGTCCTCATACATCAAACTTGTGTAAATTTTGACCATCATAGTGATGGGTATGACTGTTCATTGTATGTGTATCTTACGATAAATTTATTTCTAAGTAGTTTGTATTTTTGTGTCAAACTGTTATATTTATTGAAAGTTTTGTGATTTCCAGCAAGAATATGACAAAACAGATTCATTGATGTCCATACATGTAGTTCAACAGTAAAGCTATTGTAGGAATTCTTAAATTGACTCAGGACACACTTAGGGATCATAGATTTATTCTTACGAGGAAGCTCCGAGCATGCTCCGAGGATGCTCGGAGCTTTTTCAGTAGGCTCTTCTCTGCAGTTTATGTGAAAATAATTATCATGATCCATTAAGATGTCAATCAAATCTACACCACTTCTATAATAAGGAAAGTAGAGCATTATAGAGGAAGCTCAATTAACACCTGTGTAAACAACTGATCTATTCAAATACATTTTGCATGACATTTTACAAATTATAGAAAAGATAAGAAATTCTTCAACAGTACTGTGTAATGCTTGGAAAGAAATCTCAAGTCTCCACAAAAAAAGTGAAAGTCATATTACAAAAAATATACAATTATTATATTTATTAATCATTTCTTTTTTTATAATAAAAAAAATTCTCAAATCTTATAATTAGATGATATGATTTAAATATAGTTTATATTATATAATATGCTACATAAAAGTTATCAAGACACAAACAACAGTCAGGGGGCGATACTAAACAAGTTATTTTTTTTAGTTACTTAATATATATTAATAGGTATTTTTTGTTTTTTTTTAATTATTTGATATAAACTCAATAGTTATTTTAAATGTCAAAAGTGGACTAAATGTAGTTTTTAAGAATTTTGTCATCATTTCATTAAGTAAAATTAAGTATTTATCCAACTTGAGATGAGTATAGAGAGATTACTTTAAAAATAATGACAAAAATATTACTTTTATAAATTATTTTATACATCTTCGAAAAACTAAGCATACTTACAATTATTTAAGGAACATATGTAAATTTTTTTGATAAAGATTTCAAATTATAAATAACTTCGTCTTAATTAAATCACAAAGTTCCATCCATTTATATTTGTTCATATCTAAGATTTTAAAGGAAAATGTTATTTTAATAGCCCCAAGAGACCAATCTATGACCAAGAAGTGTGGCATCAGAAAGGCAATTAGTGTTTCAGGAGGATTTAAATAGTTTTATACTGCATGGGGAAAATAACCAGATGTGAAAATTTGGTAAAGCTTGTAAAACCTGTATGAATGGAGACCTATAGAAATAATATTAACAGAAGTTACTTATTCATGATATATAAGTAATATTTGAAACAACCTTGTTTTCAATGTAACTTGTATAAGTAATTCTGAAAATTACTTGTTTAAGTAATGCCCCTAACTATTAAAACAATGACATTTTTTTTTTTTTTATAAAATAGCAAAGTTAGTTTTTTATAAAAAAAATTATGGCTACTCTAAGAAAAGTTGAGGAGGTAATACCACCATTGTTTTCCCTCTAGTACGTCTCACTTTAATTGTCATTTTTTTTATAATTGTGCAGATTTGGTTTTATTTTAAATAAAGAAATACTTAGCATAATTATATAAGTGAAGTTTTATCCTGACCTGTACTTGAATGAAAATCTAATATAAAATTGTTTCCCCCTATCAGTCTTTGTTTAATTGGTATTTTTCCAAAAATATGTGCAGAATTTATCTATGTTTTAAATAAAGAAATACTTGACATGAGTAAAGTTTTTTCTTGTCCTGTACTATAGTAATAAAACAACATAATTTTTCAGTGCATATAAGAAAGAAGACATCACCAGAATTAACCAACCAAATTCTATCCCCTTTTTTTTTCTCTGTTTACAAGCTTTAGTAGTCATGTCCCCTAAAATTGCAAAAATATTTTATATAAAAAACTAACTTTGCTATTTTATAAAAAAAATACCATTGTTTAGTTAAGGGCATTACTTAAACTAGTAATTTTCAAAATAACCTATACAAGTTATATTGAAAACAAGGTTGTTTCAAATATTACTTATATATCATGAATAAGTAACTTCTGTTAATATTATTTCTATAGGTGTCCATTCATACAGGTTTTACAAGCTTTAACAAATTTTCACGTCTGGTTATTTTCCCCATGCAGTATAAAACTATTTAAATCCTCCTGAAACACTAATTGCCTTTCTGATGCCACACTTCTTGGTCATAGATTGGTCTCTTTGGGCTATTAAAATAACATTTTCCTTCAAAATCTTAGAGATGAACAAATATAAATGGATGGAACCTTGTGATTTAATTAAGACTTGAAGTTATTTACAATTTGAAATATTTATCAAAAACAATTACATATGTTCCTTAAATAATTGTAAGTATGCTTAGTTTTTCGAAGATGTATAAAATAATTTATAAAAGTAATATTTTTGTCATTATTTTTAAAGTAATCTCTCTATACTCATCTCAAGTTGGATAAATACTTAATTTCACTTAATGAAATGATATAAAAATTCTTAAAAACTACATTTAGTCCACTTTTGACATTTAAAATAACAATTGAGATTATATCAAATAATTAAAAAAAAACAAAAAATACCTATTAATATAAGTAACTAAAAAAAATAACTCGTTTAGTATCGCCCACTGACTGTTGTTTGTGTCTTGATAACTTTTATGTAGCATATTATATAATATAAACTATTTTTAAATCATATCATCTAATTATAAAATTTGAGATTTTTTTTTATTATAAAAAAAGAAATGATTATTTTAAAAATATAATAATTGTATATTTTTTGTTAAATGGCTTTCACTTTTTGTGGAGACATGAGATTTCTTTCCAAGCATTACACAGTACTGTTGAAGAATTTCTAATCTATTCTATAGTTTTGTAAAATTTCAGGCAAAATGTATTTGAATAGATTAGATGTTTACACAGGTGTTAATTGAGCTTCCTCTATAATGCTCTACTTTCCTTATTATAGAAGTGGTGTAGATTTGATTGACATCTTAATGGATCATGATAATTATTTTCACATAAACTGCAGAGAAGAGCCTACTGAAAAAGCTCTGAGCATCCTCCGAGCATGCTTGGAGCTTCCTCGTTAGAATAAATCTATGATCCCTTAACAAAATTTTGGTTTGCCCAAACCCAACCCAAAGGTAGAGACAGTGGGTAGGTAGGTAGACATTTTCTTTTTTTTTCGGCAAAGAGAAATTGAAGTGTCAGATATTTTTTATTCTTAATGCCTATCTGATAAAAATAAAAAACTTTTTCACATCAGGACAATAAAAGATTTTGAGAAGGCAGCTATTTTCTAGGTAGGTAGGGTTAGGACAAACAAACATATTCTTTTTTATGGCCTCATTTTTGTCTCGCCTTGACATAGTAAAAAAGCGAGACATAGGTATGCTGTTTCCAGCGTTGGCGAAGGCGGCGGCGGCGTCAACAATGTATTAGTTTGTAATTAGGTCTAGTTCATGGCGAACCACTAGTGATAGGTCAATGATATTTGGTATGCAGTTGTATTAGCATTGGCACATCTCATTACCATGGAGATTATTTGGCCCCGCCCCCTCAGTCAAGGTCTATTGACTTTGAAACTTTTCATAGTTTACATGTATTAGTTTGTGATTAGGTCAATTTATGGAGAACCACTAGTGGTAAGTCAATGATACTTGGTATGCAGTTGTATAAGCATTGGCATATCTCATTTCCATGGAGATTATTTGGCTCCACCCCCTTAGTCATGGTCTATAGACTTTGAAAATTTTGCTAAGTTAACATGTATTAGTTTGTGATTAGGTCAGTTCAAGGGGAACCATTAGTGGTAGGCCAATGTTACTTGGTGTTCAGTTGTATAAGCATTAGCACATCTCATTTCCATGGAGAATATTTGGCCCTGCCCCCTCAGTCATGGTCTATTTACTTTGATGATTGATTGTTGGTTGATTAACGTCCAGTGGCAATATTTACTTTGAAACTTTTGCTTAGTTTACATGTATTAGTTTGTGATTAGATCAGTTTAAGATGAACTGCTAATGTTAAGTGAATGATATTTGGTATGCAAATTTATTGGCATTTGCAAGTATCGTTTCCATGGAGATTATATAGCCCCACCCCTGATCATGGTTCATTAACTTTGAAACTTTTACATAGTTTACAAGTTAATGTTTGTTTAAAGGGAACGACTTATAATAAGTCAATGGTATTTGGTATGCAGTTGTATTAGCATTGGCACATCTCATTCCATGGAGATTGTTTAGCCATGTACCTTCAGTCATGGTTCATGGACTTTGAATATTTGCATAACTTACATGTTAAAGTATTGCTATTTTGATTTCAACATTTGCATTATCAAATTACAAAAAGGCGAGACATATCTCTGTGATAACAGTTTGTTATAGTTTTTTTCTTATGTTGTACTACTACACCACTGTCCCAGGTTAGGGGGAAGGGTTTGCACCCTTCAAACATGTTTAACATCACCACATTCTATATGTGCCTGTCCTAAGTCAGGAACCTGTAATTCAGTCGTTATTGTCGATTCATGGCCGTTCTTTCTTTTTTTTCGTAAATTGTTTTGTGATAAATTAGGCCGTCAGTTTTCTCAATTGGATTGTTCATTTTTTTCATGTCGGGGCCTTTTATAGCAGACTATACTTTATGGTTTTTTTTCTCATGGTTGAAGGCCATATGGTTGCCTATAATTGCTTAATCCACTTCATTTGTACTTTGGTGGATAGTTGTCTCATTTGCAATCATACCACATCTCCTCATTTTTATATCAAATATACAAATAATTATTAAATTATTGAAAAATTGCAAAGGTTCATTTTTTGAGGCTCTTTAAAAAATAATATCACATCCCTTCTTCCTTTACTCATTGGTAATTGAACCTAGTTTGGCCCTTATGACATTAACATCACTTATAGGAAAAGTAATGCATACAAAAAAATCTGTTATTGAACAACAAAAGGCTGATTGGTTTATTGGTTTTTACAGTAATCGTATGTCTGTGGAAGATTGTTTAGAAGACAAATGGTTACAGGTTGCAGACACAACAGTAAAGGCTAGACAGGAAGCTGTATTCACCACTGCTAAACTGAGGTCATTTGCTGACCTTTACAGAGAGAGAGGAATTCTAGGAATATGGATGCCAGAGGAGCTACCAGAAACGGAAAAAGAAATTGATGAATTTACAGTTAAAAAAGAAAAGGTGCATACTTTGAAAGGATAAATCCCTGTGGTTTTATCTGTGTTAAATCAGGGAGAAAGAGAGAATTAACAATTTATTTGAACAATTCAAATTTATAATTTTTGCTCTGTCTGTTAAACATGTGAAAATTTTCTTGAAAAAAAAAATGTATTATAGACAAAAATGTTGAATAATGTGATGGTCTGCAGAAAAAAACCTGCGCTTTGTTACAAAAAAAAAGACATGTGCAGTAGCTGCTATGACAATGTGTTGTTCTTTTACAGCATACATGAGATTAAGATTTTTGCAAATAGCACATTTGTATGATCTGAGTATATTCATATTTCATAAAAATGCCTTTAAATATTTCTTTATTTTAGTTTTTGTTCACTTAAAAATTAAGGTTTGAGGTTTCTTCAAAAAGAAGGGGGGGGGGGGGGTGGTTTGGGTATAAAGAGCTGGAATATTTGTACGGAAGGTCCTGCCCCCTTCAGCAAAGGTAAAAAGGTGATTATATGAAGATTGGATTTTAATTTTAGACTAACTTTCTTCTGTTTTATAATTTTGTAGAAAACCGAAGTACCTACAAAGACCGAAACAGAGCAAACATCAGAGGCGAAGGAAAATATCAAAACTGAAACACAAAAAGATGACAGCCAAGTGATATCACAAGAGAACAATAGCCCTGTGATGTCAGAAAAAAATGATGACATAATTGAGTCACAACAAAATGCTATTGATAAAGTAGCTGAAACCATGGTAACAGAAGCCCTTGAAGATGCATTTAAAAGCAAAGAATTAAATTAAAAGCACTTCTGACATTAGATATTGACATTAAAGTGTCATAGAACAAATGGTTTAAATATGTATGTTCTTGTCTCTGCAAACCTACTGCCCAAGAACAAGCATCTAAAATTAATTTATGTTTCTTGAGATAAATTTTTCCACTTTAGACAGGGTTAATCTAATTAAATTACATGTTAATTATTATTGGCTTGCTTATTACAAGATTTGTCCTGTGGGTCTGATACATGTTTGTGGAGATGAGAAAGTGCAAATATTAAACACCATGTTGACAAATAGATACTTCAGGGCGAATTTTTTTTTTGTGTTTACTTAATTTTTAGAATCGTTTACATTCAATAGTACGTCTATATGTAATAATGCATATTAAAACATTTTATCAAAGTATTTTAATTACATACTGTATCTGAAGTTTACCAGGGAAATATGAAGTTTATAGGAGTGAAGGGGTTGATAATAGATATGGATTTTATGTCCTGGACTTAACAGTGATCATGTGAACAGTTATGGTATGGATTCCTTAATACCCTGCTTTTTTAGAAGTTTGCTGTAGAAAGTTTTTAGGCTCATTCATCTCATTTTATACACACTTAGTCTGAATATGATGTAGAAACAAGATTCTTAGACACAATCATGTCACTAGAAAATTAATATCATCTCAATTGTTACTTTTCATGTATTTATATATCTCTGTGTATTGCTAATATTTTCGTCAAAAACACAGCCTACGACTATCACTAAAATTTTCTTGTTTTCCTCTCGTTAATGGAAGGGAGGGATTTAAAATTAAAAAGAGGACATGAAGTAGGAAAATCATCCAAGTAAATTAAGAACAAAATATGGTTTTAATCTACCAGTGATTACTTGACAAGCTCTAAAAACAAATCTGCCTTGTTTTAGGAGTGATTATAAGAGAGGTACAACTAACTTTAAAGTAACTCTGTATGTTTAATTATTATAAAATCAAATTGTAAGGTTGGTTGTTTAAGGTATTTATTACATGTATTACTAACTTAAGGTAGCTGTGTTTTTTATAAAACATTAGTAATACAAATTTTACGATTTAATTCTGTGATTTCTTATTCTGTCATTAGAATTTGGAAAGTTTTGTCTGTGATCTAGGATTAAGAAAACTTAATTTATATTTATAATCCACAATATGTGTGTATTTTAAAATGTATATTACTTAATTATTTATTGTTACGAGTTAGTTAGTGTATTGGTTAATTATTATTACTGGAGAACTTATGACTTGCAAAACATATTCATAAATGATCATCGTTTGTATTGTTTCACCAATATTTCTGGTGTTACATAATTGCATGATATGACAGTCGTTCCTTTTGTGCGACATTATTGCACGGAAACATATTGCACCAGCGTCTTTGTTGATATACCGTGTATGATATAAGATCTGTATCTTTGGCATTGTATCATTGCTCTGGAAAAAAGTTCTGATGTAACACCAGTGTTTGCAATGTAACTGGACTGTCCATTTTAATTACATTATTTGATGTGACATTATTGTATTTGTACATCATTTGCCATAATATGTAACAATCATTTCAGAAAGGTTTACTTTACAGTGTTAAAAGTGTTATCCCAAAACAATGTTAATACTTTTATGTCCTGTTTTGCTTTAATTTCCTTGACTTGAAGTGTAAAAAATTATGAAGATTTCCTCAGGACGTTATAGAGAAGGACATGAGGAGATCCCCATTTGGACAGGTGAAAAGAATTTAAAAAAAGGTTTACCTAATGTAAAAAAAAACATCTTAAAATAAGCTGGTCTTAAATACAATTTACCTGAGTATAAAGATACTTTGTGGTACTGATAAATGTGTGACAATTTTGTGCAAATGTTTTTGATGGAACTAGGCTTTAAGATCTTAGAACTTGTTGTCAAGTCTTGAAGAATTAAACACTGTATTTAGATATACCATTGAAATTAATTTTTTTCCAAGATCAATATAAGTTGCATGTCCAATTCGTCCCATATTTATTTGGATAGTTTGATTAAGACTTTATTGATCATATTTGAGTGACATATAGTCTATGGCACCACATAAACAGAGCTCCTTAAAACAATGAAAAATGACAATGCCAACTGGCCTAGCCTCTTTCTAAAGTATTCTTAAGTACAACCATACCATTTGAACTTTCATTGGTATATTTAGACATGCTGTTTGTCCTTCTCTGAACATTGTAGTAGCGCTTACACCGCCGTATTTCTATGATTATCATGTTTGTTTTAATTAGTGATACTATTATTTATTAAAACACAACCAAACCATAGTTTTCTTGTTTTCTTTTTGCTCACTTTGACCAAGGTAACTGGACAGTTGTTATATAATTGAAAATAATGTCACTGCAGCTTTTGTACATGTAGAATAATTACATCAGTATACATGTGTTTTACAGGTAAAAAGAAAGCCCTATTTTTCTTTAACTCGTGTATTACTTATCTAGTGAATGCAAAAGGCCTTGCGATTTAATGTTGCAATTTTGAATGAATGTTATTTAGAATTTAATACTCTCTGACCAGGTTGTGATGTTTTTAATGAGTTTGCCCCAAGCAGGAGGTATTACTTTATACTTCACCACTAATCAGAACAATTTTATTCATTTCTTTAATTTTTTTATCCGCTTTTGATGTATGTTATATATACTACATCCCAAATTATAATAATAGATATATTTCTAATATAAGGTTACGGGTACAGGATTTTCTCACTGCGTTGAAGACCCTTTGGTGGCCTTTGTGTGTTGCCTGCTCTTTGGTCAGGTTGCTGTCTCTTTGACATATTCCCCATTTCCATTCTCAATTTTATTAAACAATTTCAGTGATTTTGTTGGCTGTTGTAACCTCATTAAAAAGATAGTTATATAACTATTGTATATAACCATGAAACCTATGTAGTTTAATTTATTTGACAGTAATAAACCAAATTGACAAATAACCTGGTATTTTTTAAGATATTTATATAATGGAGATAGCTGTAGATTTTGATGAAAACCCAAGTTGCTTTGAAATATTTATAAAAAAATTTAAAGATGACTATCTGAATTTAATCAAAACTGAAAATTCTTGCATTTTTTTTACCTATTGATTAAATCCTTAAATTTGATAGCAATACACCAAAATACATAACGACCTGGGATTCAGTAAGATCAATGTATAATTGAGATAGCTGTATAGTTTTATGAAAATCCAAGTTGATTTGAAAAAGTTATAGAAATAATTAAAGATGACTATCTGAATTTAATAAAAACTGAAAAATCTTGCTTTTTTTACCTATTAATTAATTTCTTTAATTTCACAGCAATGAACCAACTACCAAATAACCTGGAATTTTGTAAGAACTGGTTAATTATCTGGTTTTAGGTAGGTTATAGTTTCAGTTGAAGACAGTTTGTAGTCACATTAACTTGAAACACATTACACATGCTCATTATCATGTGTAATGTTAAAAATATATGTCAATTGAGGTTTTTTACGCAGATTTTATGGTTACTGAACATACAAACATAGGTAAAAGTCTAGGTTGAAGGTAGATTTAAGTTTTGGTTAATGGTAGTTTCTGGTCACATCAACTTGAAACTTAGTACATATGTTCATTATGAAGTGAACCACTGTTTAACACATATGTCAAATTAGGGTTTTGGACCAGATTTTACAGTTGTTCACTGAACATAGTAATGTGATGGGTCAAAGTTTTGGTTCAAGGCAGATTTAGTTTTGGATTTAGGTAGTTAATGATCATATCATCTTGAAACTTCATTATTAAGTGAAACTTTTAGTAGATATGTCCATATAGTAATCTCAGATATACCAAATTAGGGTTGTGACCAAGATTTAACGGAACACTGAATATGGAAAGAAGATAATATGCGAGCAGGGCGTAATATCCTTTTGACACATATTTTTGTTATAAATGTTGTTTATCCATTGTATATCCGTAATGAATTGATATTTTTATGCAGCTCGGTGAAAAAGAATACTTTTTTAACTCTCCTTCTCGGCAAACACACGTCGTTATTTTACATCACCTACTCTACATGATGTCTCTATTAAAGACCTATTTATACAAAAGCCGTTGGGTATTCATCACATCTGCAAGAAGCTTTATTAACTACTCCTTTCGAAACTTCATTCTGTGTAAAAGTTATGTTTGGAAACCTCTGTTAAAAATCTTTATCTGTATTTCAACGTCGTAGGAACCAATACTGGCTTTTATACAATGGGATGAAGGCGCCGTCTATGTATTGACAGTTCATGAGAGCAGATTTAAAGCTCTACGCTTGTTGCGCGCACAACTTTGTCTTCTAGATGGTTCCAGTCGATTATCGTAGACACAAAGAATGAGTTGGCATATTGTGGTGTTCTACTAGTTTGTGTGTCAAAACACCTAGTATTGTTTCTCACTTATTTTTCTACAATAGTTATTGGACCTTTTGGCTGTGATGGTTCTTCTTGGTCTTGTTGATTTTAAGAATTCGTCTAGATTAGTAGCAGGAACTAGCCCTTCAACCACCTTGTACAAAAATATAAGCTTTTGGCTCGTACTTCTATGTTGTAGTTCTTGTAGTCCTAGTATGACAAGCATGTTTTATATGCATCCATTTTCTCTTGTATTGTAGTCGCCTGTTATGGACCTTGCTGCTTGTCGTTGTATTCTTTCTAGCTTAATGGCATCTGCTGCACTGTATGGTTCCATACTGTAGCTGTATATTCCATCGTTGGACATACTAGTAAAATGTAAGCAGTTTTCTTACATTCCTGTGGACAGTATCTTAGGTACATTCTCAGAAAACCCAGGGTTGAATTTGCTTTTTTTGCTACATTTGTTATGTGTGTGGTCAACTTCGAATCTTTTGACATTTGCACTACTAGGTATAGGTTTTTCTGGACTTGTTGGAGAATATGACCATTGAATGTATAAAATCTCTGGATTTTGTCTTAAATGCTTAAGATGTTGTATTTTTGACATTAAATTGCATTCCCCATTTATTTGCCCATTCCTCTAGGGTTGCTGGATCCTCTTGCAGTAGTTTGTTGTCTTTTTTCTATTTTGATGGTTCTATATAGCAAACGGTCATCAGCGAACAACCGTACTGAAGAATTTACAGTGTCCTGGAGATCATTTATGTGACATAAGTGCAGTCCCTTGTGGGACTCCTGAGGCTACTTTTAATTCAATTTCCGTCGTTGTACATTTCCTTGGTTGTATCAAACATTCGCATCATTTAAAAACAAATTATTATAAAAAATATTGTCTATATGTACGTCTGAAGATGTGGAAACTTTCTCCATCGTGGTTTCACATACTCACTACATATTCTTCGTGTGAAGTTCCCCAATAAGGTTAGATCTGCAATTTGTAGAACTGAGTTATATTAATGACAAAACAAAAATGAAATTAGAATAAAAACATTTTCAGAGAATAGTTGAAGGTCTTTTCAGCGCCCATGTTAATAATTCCTTTTCAAAAACTTTTATACAGATATGTAAAAACGTTTTTTAATTATGAAAAATAATCTTTGAAACAAAAACGACGGTGCCCGAAGATTACACAGATGGGAAAAATATAGTCTATTCTTTAAAATAAGGGAAATGATCAGCTACTTCCGGTATACATCAGTCACTTCCGGTGTCATCTAATAGCTTTTCACTTTTCACTGATTCCAAAAATAAATGGCTTCTTATAAATTTCCCTTTAAAAAGAGGGAGATAATTGACTACTTCTGGAGCACAAAATGTCACTTCTGATGTCATATGATGGCTTTTATTACAATGCTTCGAAAAATATATGGTTTCTATATACTTTTTCTTGAGATAATGGTGATATATTTGGCTACTTCCGGTGTACAAAATGCCACTTCTGTTGTCATATAATAGCTGATTCGATAAAAATAATTTGATTTCCATATACTTCTTCCAATAAAATTTGCTAATTCTGGTTTACAAAATGTCACTTCTGTTCATGTGAAAGATTGATTCACACTGATTCTGAAATATATATGGTTTCTATGTTGTTTAACATGAAATTAGTGAAAAAATTGCCACTCCCAGTTTACACAAGGTCGCTTCCGCTTGATCTGTTTTCAGGTCATATGTCATCCAGTTGATGTGAAAGACCTTACTTTTTTGATATACCAGTATAAAGTTATAGCAAAGATCAAATCTAGATAGACCATATAATTTTAACCTTGACTTCAATTTCAAGGTCAAATGTCATGTCTTTAATCCCAAAAGACCCAAGGTACATAATTTGTATGGTTAAGAAGTTATACTACCAAAAGGTGATTTTGAATATATAAGGGGAGAACAGTACTATTAAAAAAATCAGCAGAGCACCTCGACCCAAATGTATTGACGTAGCGTCATGTCGTAACTTACAATTTGACAAAAACCTGTTGTCGATAACTGTAACGGTGTCTGAGGATTTACGATAACAAGTTTAAAATCTATAAGATCATCTTCACTTCAATTTCTGCTTCTTAACCAAGGATCGTATATTGAAAGCCCCTAGGTCTCTATGACGTACGGTTTATGAGTTACCTAAAATACCACTCATGTCAAACACAAAAAAAGGATTACAAAACTCTTATAATTATAATATGTAACCGAACAGATTCAGTCCAAATTTAACAGATCATCCTGAAAAAACGAACATTTGTGAAAAAAAAATTAATAGATTTAAAACAGAAACATTCAAAGATCTACCATTAAAACCCAAATAGCGTGACGCCTGGAAAGAGGAAAGTTTTGTAAGTTAAAAGTAACAAACTTATAACTTCTATAAGGGCTCTCTATATATACAAGAGAACGTTTCAAAGAGCTATTGATTGACAATGTTGTTGGCATACAAAATAATGTAATAAATCGGTATATATGTTATTTATACTGCAAAGCTCGTTCAACTCCACTGTTCAACACATGTAACTATAACTTAAGTCCAATCAGATCAATTTGCCATATGGATTATTTTCTCCTTATCAGATTTTGAAATTGCAATTATGTTCATATACATGTTCAGAGAAAGTCATAAAATGATAAAAGTATTGGATACTTAGTTAATTCACTGATAAAATTCATTTTGCTACTCGTTTTCTCCTTCTTGAGTCCTTACAAAATCATCGTTTGTTTACATTTATCTTGTCTTGCATCTTATAATGTAATCATTGAATAACACCATCTCAATTTGTTAAACATTGAAACTTAACTTAAAATTTACCGCAAATGCGTCTTTTCATGTATTTAAGATTGAATTAACACGTTTTTCTTAATAATT